TATTGTTGTTCTTACTAATCTGTATTGTCACTTGAAGATCTCTCGCTGCATTGGTGCTTTGTTGATGCTTAATGTCACTTTGGATAAAGCGTCTGCCAAATGAATAAATGTAAATGTAAGTACAATTTGAGAGGGGCAATCACCGGTCAGCACTCGGGCAGCAGAGTTCTGAATCAATTGTAACTGATTCATGACTTTTAGCTCAATGCTACACACACTACTCAGCTAAGATATTACAAATGAAAAATTAATGAATTTTGTGACAATGTACCTGAGTTACTTCAGTAAATACATCGACGCAACTGCTTTACAGACTCAAAGGTAAGCGCACAGTAATGAGAAAGCTGACTCACACCTCTGTTCAGCCCTTGCCCTGGATAAAGCTGACTCACGCAATGTGGCACTCCTGCAAGGCTACTCAAAGACAGTCTAGATGGTGGATTGGGGTTGAGGGGGGACAGGATATCAAAGCCAATCTGCAATCAGCTTTCTCTGAAGTAATACTCCAATTAAACACAGAGTGACAGCACTCTGTGACTCAGATAAAGTGCTGTCTGGAACTGCTGGAGTCAGAAAATGGTTTCCCACAAGTTACCATGGGAGATGTGAGGGGTATCTGCAAAGGCACAACTGACACATGGACAGAGTGGATTTAAAATACCCACAGGCTTTATGGGGGGGGGGGGGGGGGAATGGTTTGGGAAGATTTATCTAAGTAAAATAATATTGGGAATACAATAATTTCACTTCCTCCTGCTTAGTGGCGACATGTAACTAAGTAGAACAGCTTGACAGCTTTAGTCACTAATTACTTTACAAATGAAGATTTTTGCATTTTTGTTATAAACTATGCAACAATTTTTGCAAGTACAGCTGAAATGATTAGTCGTTAATTAATTAGTTAGTAGACAGATTATTAATAGGCAATTATTTTGAACATCCTGCTTTTACATTAATGCATGGGGAGGCGATCTAATGATATTAAATATAATAGTATAACATTCACAGGAGCCATTTTCTTCATTGAGCAGTTTCACTTTCCTTTCCATTTTGCTGATTATACTTGCATACTTCACTCATACTAATTGAATATTTTTACCTAAGTAAAGGTCCTGAATATGTCCCCCACCGAAGCCTTCTGCTCTATCCTTAAATTTTTGTCCCTGGGTTTGTGGGCAAATCAGATTATTCCCAGTTTTATCAGTGATCCTGTCATCTCTCTGCAGCTTTTCAGAAGCTTTGGAGGTTTTTGGTACCTGATGATGCAAGTCCTGGCAGGCAGAAATGGCAGTTGTGAAAATCCCCACTGGGGTGTGTGCGTGTGTGTGTGTGTGTGTGTGTGCGTACACATGTGAGTGTGTGTGCGGCATTCATTGTCGATTTGCTTTTGTTCTTTAACTTTTAGCAATCACAGGGTGAGAGGAAGCTCCGACTGGGATGAACTTGCTTCCTGCTGTTCTCTGTCAATCCATTATCGTTGCATTTCCTCTCCAGCATGATGCATATGGTTATCATACAATTTTCTTGGACACAGCTATTCCCACACCTTCAGTTGCTCACACCGTCAATATTTGCCACACTTGTGGTGTTAAATTTCTCGGCCAAGTCATGTCCTACAGTCCAACTGTGTGAGGATGTGAATTATGTACACATCAGCATACGTTAACACTAGATACAGTTTCTGTTGTTGGTGCTGCCATGTTGTCCTTCACAGCTGAGTCGATGCAATTAGCTGACTCAAACAGACAAATTCACTTGGGATAGAACAGTAATTATGTTTAAAACGGGCAACTGGGGTTATTCTAGGCATCAGTGTGACTTCAAGTATTTATGCAGGAATGTTATGTTCATATAGACATTAGTAAGCACACAGTTCTCCACAAAACAATGTTGCACTAAATCCCAAAATTTAAAAAAACGTTTTGTCATGAGTAAGACTTAATTATCTCATTTAGATAAACCTTAAACCTATCTAACAGTAAATACCAATAATTTACACCCATTTTTAAAATGTTTTACATAACAGAATAACTGAAAGCAAACCTGAATACCAATATAATGCATGTCAACGCAGCCACAGCAACAACAGTCAAGAATACTGTACACAAGCAGGAAAGAGAGAGAGAGATTGGACCCATGACCCTGCTTTCCTTCATAAAAATTTTCATTCAACCTGTTGAGATAGCTGGATCACTCCACATGATTGAAGTCACATGCTATGAAGAAAACAGAAGAGAGCTCATGCCTGTTGAAGATTACTCATATCTGAAGAATATCATAACCCTTTGGCATAGTTTGATTCCTTTGAGTTGTTATATTTTCATTTGCAGCTTATGTTCATAATTTCTATCATGTGTCCGTTAAGAGCTTAGCTGCGTATCCAAAAATACAGTCTGGGTTGATCATCGTGAGCCCGTGTGATTGATTTATGCATGTGACAACTTTTTAATTTACTCTGTGTTCATAAAGCAGAACACTGATTTGGCTTAAAAGTTAAAAAATGAAAAAAAAAAAAAAAACAGAAAAAAGAGGAGGACTATTTAAATCACCATTTCAAAGCAGAAATCCACCATCACATCCTTGTACAACCATTTCCCCTTTATATTTATAGAAAGGATGCTGTGTGGGAGAAATTCTTAGTTCACTTTTTTCATAAAAAAAAGCAGTGATGTTTGTAAGTAACACGCATCTAAACATGTTTTCTGGTGCAGTACAGAGCCATTTAAATTGTGGAGGCACAGTTGTTCCACGTGCTTAAATGTTCCAGTTTTGAACATCAGTCTCAAGTCTGAGGTGTTGGTCCTTCACTGTTCTATTTACGTCAAACCATGTTCTGCATTTGCTAGTTTGAATCTTTAGTCATTGCCTGTCATTTTCAGGGAAATAAACACAATAACAACAGTCTATTCTACTCTCTACTAATCTCAGTGTGCCACTTCTAGAGTCAACATACTGCTTGTTATCTGAACCATGTGTTCAGGCTGTCATAGATTAACTTTGGTAATGCTCTTAGTGTCTCCTGTGTCTGATAGAGAAAGTGCTTTTGCCACTCTATAGAAAGAAAGATAAATTATATTGTTAATTTTGAAGAGACATTCAAATTGGAAATATGTGCTTCAACTAATTGCATGTACCTATCTTTTTGTTTTAGGGTTGGTCTGTGGGAAGAAGAAGAAGACATACTTCATTAATCCCGCTAGAGGGAAATTCCGCTGTGTATAAATGTGGTGTGGCATTGTGCGTGAAACAGCCGCTGACTAACATTTGGAACACCATTATAACACATATTTATATTTACAGTATAATAACAGAATACAGTATATAACGTATTTATTATCCATTAACCGTCTTTATGGGGAATTTCGTTTGGACTCAAATAAATAAGTAATACAGTGTTGGCTTAAAATCTGAGGTTGTTAGTTAAATTAGCAAGAAACAACATTCTAGTTTACCCACCAGACCACACACACATGCAACCGGTTTACCGCAGCTGCTCATTGTCCACCACTAATTATTCTGGGCAATGTAACGCATACAGTATGTTTGTGTATCTGCGTCAGTGTGAGGCAGTGTGGTCTAAATGAATGGGCTGCAGATGCATTTAATTGGTAATTCAGGGTTCCATGCTGTTTTCGTTTATAGTCCAACACTTCATCCAGAGGAGGGCAGCATGGCCCTTTGGCTGTGTGTAAATAGAGCAGCCCTTGTGGATTACTGGAATTTATGTTTGCTTTAAACCAGGAAGTCAGCCACTGACTATCTCTGTCAAGTCACAGTAACTGACAGTGAGACTACTTCCACTCTTGTGAATTTCTTTTCGATGTAAAAGCCAGACAGAAATGTGTCCTGAGTCTAAATAAATTTCTAAAGAAGTCTGAGTCAGAGAACATCAACTGTTTTCAAAACAAAAACTACAATTTAAAGAGGGCTGCTCAGCAATGTCACACAGATCAGTAAACATGCTCCAGGGATTTTTTTAATTGATTTTGTTTAGATTTATAGCTGCATCAAGCAATCTTTCCATGTAGGCATTAAATCAAATGATTCCATGTAGACATTAAGTGAAATTACTTCACATCTAGCATGAACGAGATACCACTGACAATTCCACTGATTAAAACCCAAATTTGCAATACTAAGTTGCATTAATACTTGTTTGGGCACTAAAGGACAGTTAACAAGCTGACAGATACACCTTTTGACTCTGTTTTAAACTTATCATTTTGTCCTGGAGAGGTATGTACACTAGGTTTATCGGAGCATTTTAATGGGAAACAATAGAAAATGTGCCCAGAAACTGAAACAAGGAGTCAGTAAGGTACAAATGTTCCAGAGTTGGGTAATTTTCTCCTGTATCACCTCCGCACAGAGCCATACTGTTTCCACTCTTTATACTATTTTAAGACAAGTTAGTCCCCTGTGTGTTGCTTTGTATTTACCACACAGATTTGAGAGTGGCATTGACCTACATACCTTACTCCCCTCTAAAAAGCAATTAAGATCCCCCCCCCCAAAAACATTAAAATGTTCCTTTCAGTTAGAAAGACACTGCATTTTAGCAATTTTAAAACAACAACTTGGACATTCAGTGATGGATCACTCAGAAGTACAAATCAATGCGTTATCTGGGAGATAGGCGTTGTTGACATTTTGAGCTCTACTTTTACCAGATGCACCATTAAAGTGATGCTTACACATGAATGCAATATAGAAATATAATATCCTGGACTGGGCCATTCTACTTGAATTATATCATCATGCTAATACTTTTGTACTTTTGCTTCAGTAAAATTTGAATGCTATTTTTTTTTTTTTAGCTTTTGGCATTGCTATTTTTAATTGAGGAAAATATCTAAGTACTACTTTTACCACCACTGGTTGCTCATTATGAGAGTGAGAATATGTTAGATTGGTAAAAAAGATTAATTCTGCTTTATCGTCACAACCTTTATTTTGAAAACTTAAACACACCGGAAGATGAAACGATTCTGCTGCTAGCTTTATGCTAACCTGATGTTAGACACAGAAGTGACAGGTCTGTACGTTTTAATACTTCATCTGGTTCAAGTCAAGAACAAACGTCAACTTGTACTTTCTCACAACAACCGCAGAAGTATCGTCTGGATACAGTAAAGTAAACCTCAGTATCGTTATTTTACCAGACAGTAAGTTAGAAAACGCCACGTCGAATCTAACGTAACAAGTTAGCTTACATAACGTTAGCCATTAACGTTGCTTCTTTTAACGTTAACATTAGTTATTTGTTGTTAACTTAAGCATGTCTTTACAGAAAACATGCACATGTCATTTCATTCGACAGTTTGAGACACATTCACTTTGCTTACTTTCATAATCGTTTAAATCTGATTGTCTTTTTTTTTTTTTTTTTTTTTGTCTTTTGCCATTACATTAACGTTATCTGAAAAACATAGGCCAAAAAATGCTGTTTTCACTAGTGCACCTCGATGTGATTGTAACGTTATAAGTTTAACATTGTATTCAGATGCTGTCACATTTTACAGCGTTGTACAAAGGGATAATAACAGCGTTGAAAATATACTTCCGTATTTGTTTACATTCAATCCACTTTTAGGTGTGTGTCCTATTATTTGCTGTAACATCTTCCTTGCCCCCCTCCCCGACAGACATGGCTGTGTTTAAGAACTGTTCCGTGCTTTTCGAGCTGAAGAACTTGCCTTTCAAGGAGAAGAAGCAGCTCAAATCAGCAGTAACCGAGAATGGAGGCAACATTTCCTTCGTGGTCAATAACCAGGTCAGAGGATGTGGTCATTGTCAACTGTAGGTGGTGTCTTAGTGGCAGGCTAGACTGGCATCACCCTGTTAGCAGAGATATCAGACTGCTGGTTAAGGTGTTCGATTAAAAACTAAATATCCTTCTCCAATATATGATTAATGTAGATTCAGCTTGCATGATTATACTGTATATCATCTAAGATATATACTGTATATACAGTAACAAAAATCACAACTTGCTTTCCGCCTACATTTCCCACAGTGCTCTCTGATAGTGACCAGTGACCCGTCCAACCTCAGCTCCAGCAGGCTGCGTGGTATCCAGAAATACCAAATACCCGTAGTCGGGGTGGATTATGTGTACAGCTGTCTGAAGAAAGGAGTTCTTCTGCCCGTGGATGAATACAAGCTGGATTCTACCTCTCCCGTCGCTTTTTCACCTCCTCTTCCTTTCTCCTCACAGACACAAAGTCCACTCTCACATAAAGGTATTATCCTTATGGGCAGTAATTGTAAGGCTACTCAGACCATATGATGACACTTTAAATCTTACAGACCATGTATCAGTAAGCACATTTCAACAACAAGGCTATTACACACAACATAAAAGTAACAATATAACAGCAATATAAAAATAGATTTAAATACAATTTTAAAAAGTTAAATAGAAAATAAAAACAAGGATTAATAACAGGAGAGTTAATGTACAGATATTGATCAAAAGACTCAAATCTGATTTAATTAAAGGCAGTGGCAAACAGAAAGATCTAATTTAAAAAAAGAGAGTTGCAGCAGACCTGCAGTTTGTTCCAAATATATGGTGCATAAAAACTGAATGCTGCTTCTCCATGTTTAGTTTTAACTCTGGGGACAGAAAGAAGACCTGTCCGAGACAGCTCGAGAGGTCTGGATGGTTCATAACAGAGCAGAAGATCAGAAATGTATTTTGACCATAAAACCAACAGCAATATATCAAAGTCAGTTCTTTGACAGACAGGAAGCCAGTATCAAGACCTCAGAATTGGAGTGATGTGAGCCACTTTTTTGTTCTTAATGTGGACTGGAATCAGCTATAGTCTGATCAATTGATTTAAGGCGACCTGTGAAGACACTGTTACAGTCTATGCATGGACAAGTTTTTCCACATTCTGCTGAGACACAAATCCTTTAATCCTTGATGTATTCTTCAGGTGATAGTAGGCTGACTTTGTAGCTGAAATTCCATGACGATTCCTGGCTGCAGATTGAATCTGAGTTCTAACTTTAAATCGTTCTTCCTTGGCTCCAAAAACAATTAAAGTTACTGTGTAAAAAGCATTATCTGTCAAATTTGCAGGAGGGAAGAGGCAGGAGGTCTTTTTTTTTTTTTTTTTTGTTCATTAGAGTAGGCTAGATACCCAGTGACAAGTGAAATGAGACAACCGTCAAGGATAACGGCAGTCTTGTGCGCATTCTAAACACAGATACAGCCATGACAGGATGAGTGCTGATTGAAGAATCGAGTTGACAGTTCTAGTTAGGATTTCCTAAGTTAAAATAAGATACAATGTCTGAGATACAGCCGTGAGTTTAGGATGTGTGCTTCTGTAATAGGAAGATAGGATTTTTTCCTATCTTTGAAACTTAAAGTTAGGACAAGTAGTTGAGAAATTTTTTCTGTAATGTCCCTGAACTTCACCCAGTTCCAACACAATGACTCATGATTCCTCCCAGTCATTGCCCTTTATTTGCACTTAGCACAGACATTTTCTTGTAGTCACTGATTCAATTATCTCTAGGATTCTTAAGGTCTGGTAAGTGTGTGTTTGCTTGTAGGGTGTGTGCATTGCTGCACTTTACAATACATAGATTTTCTTTAGAGCCAACTTAAATCGGGTGCAGTGTTGCGTAATGAGCGCTTTGTGAAGTCTATTTGTAGGAATCCATATGTCAACTTGCTAACTAGCCTATGTGTATTTAGGTTTAACTGCATACCAGTTCTAATACATTTATTGCACAACAAGTGCCATGAGGTTGGGTGTGTAAGTGTCCTGTCTTGTTCATTGTAGTGTCCAAAGTACAAACCAACAAAGCAGTTGCAGAGCCTTCCAAAGGCTCAGCCGGGCTTCAGAGGGCAGAGACTCCGGAGAGGAGCGGAAACGTCCTGGAAAAGTTCAGGTGTGAACTACAATCATCCTCATGTTAGCCTGGACATGCACAGGAGTGTGTTATGTTAACACTGGGGGATTAGTGATGAAGGAGACAGTGACATACAATAAAATCTTTCATTGTGAAGATGCTCAAAGGTTCAGTCTTTTTAAAAGCCTATATCGGGCGTTGAAAATATGTTGTGATATGTTTGCTTATTACACTAAACAGATGAGGCCTTTATGAAGCTGATTGGCAGCCTGTGCAACTTATAGTGCAGCCCACCATCAGGGTAAACCTTAGGAATAAAGTGATAATTTTCCATTTTTTCTGCCCCCCACACTTCTGGTGGAATAACCATGTTATCACATACCTTTGTCACATGGTAGAAGCAACTGGAGAAAACGCACAACAATATTTAAAAAAAATAATTCCTAAATTACATATATAAAATTGTCACTGATCTTTGCATTTGTGTCATCAATTGTTAAATTTTCACAGAATTTATACTGAAACTGATTCTGATCTTCCAACGTATCCGGATAATTTTGAAGTGGCCAAGTATTCAATCTTTGAAAAGGTAAAACTGCAGTTTAATTTTAGCTTACCACTACTACTACTACTACTGCTACTATACTGTAAATACTATTGTTAATAATATATATTTCTCTCAAGACAAACAGCAACTTTTGCTGTGTGCTGGAGCTGCAGAGTTTCAAAGGGGACAAAGGACGGCAGTACCGTGTGGTCAGGTGCTGTAAGGATAATGTAGGAGCCAAGGTATGAAGTATGAAGTCACTGAAATAATATTGTCATATCACCGTTAATTAGTTTTAATTGCCTGCTCTTTGTCTTTGTTTGTGCTGTTTCTCTGTGTTTGTAATAATTAAATGTGTCCCGAGACATTTTTGGGGTTTAATTGAGATACCTTTAACGTCACTAATGATTCTGCCTTTCTGTTATTTGGTCATTTGTCTTATGTTGCTTCAAAAACCTATTAGGGATAATTGCCTTTATTGATATAGCTTTGTGACTGCTCTGTAACATGTTATCCGTAATGTGTTATGCTGTAGAAGTAATCTGAAGTTAAAATGTATTTGCAGTAATGTTAAACCAATGGAGAATTTGTATACCGAAATAGTGTAACTACAAGTGTTCAGAATTTCCTCTATATCAGTTTGAAAACCCCCCTGAGAGCATATTTAGACCATCATAACACAATAGAAAGTCCAATGAAACAAGACCACGCAAGTTCTCAAGTGAGAGTCCTCCAGTTTTACCCCCATCAGAGTAACAACTAATCAAAATGTGGGCCGCAAGTCAGACTTGGATAGAAGAATAACATGCACGTTGGAAAAAAACATTAAAAAATGTATACCTATGTTTGTGCTAACAGAAAGTGAAGGACATGTTGGTGTTTCCGTCCACATCAGAGGAAGCTGTGGATGTGTACGAGGCCCTCAGAGAGAAACTGCACACGACTGGTCTGCAGCTGATGAGCAAAATCCCTCCACAAGCACTGGACCTGGGCTCCAACCCCCTCCAGCAAGTAAGACACACTTGCTGCACGTTGCGTAAAAACGTTACGTGTTTTGCTGACAGTCTTATCCAAAGCAAGAAAAAATAAGCCGCAGGCAATTATGAGACTGTATTATGACTGTACCTGAGAATGTCGTTCTCTGTGTCGTTCTCCACCAACGTGTCCCTGAGCAAGACACTTAACCCCTAGTTTCTCACGAGGCGTGCGACCTCTGAAGTATAGCTATTGTAAGTCGCTTTGGATAAAAGCGTCAGCTAATTGAATAAATGTAAATCTAAGGAAAAATCATTAGATTTGTCGCTTAAAAAATAATCATTTGGTGCTCCTTTCATAGAAGGCTTACAGTATTTTCTGCACACAATTTATGTGTGTTTCTAACACACATCAATAGTATCTTAAGAGGACTTTGGATTAGACTTTGTGTTATTATGATATCTGAAGTGTAAGGAGTACCTGCTGCTTTACATCTGTGTCGCTGAATCTAATGAGCTGATCGGTTCATTTACATGTGCCTTGTTTGACTGGCAGCTGCTGCTTGAGGAGAAGCTGAACACAGGAAGCTTATCCCAGGAAGTGGGCGTATTTGTGGAGCTTCTGTGGACCGAGGCCCTGGGCTGTCTTGACAGCGTCCTCAGAGTTTCAATCGACAAGCTCAGCCTCAATGATGTGAGATTTTCTCTGTGGATTGTTTTGTGAAATCTCCGTATGCTGTCAGACTACTGAAATCAATATCAGCTGTCTCGTCAGCCTGTTTGTTTCACTTTCCAGGAAAGACAAATCATGAATCTCATTAGAATAACGTATTCACTCCATGTCGTTTGTTTTGTTTGTGTGTGTGTAGGTGAGCAGGGTGGAGGGCTTGTTGCTTCAGGCTCAGAGGAAGCTGAGAGAGGCTAATCAAACTGAGATGGCATCTCTCCTGGATGAGGTTTACACCCTGCTGCCGCACAGAGAGCCCCCACTATCCCCCACTGCCAAGCTCATCTCTCAGAAACTGGACCTCTGTCAGGTAACGCGACATACACACTCACATCCATACACCCAAGTCACCACTGTACCCTGTGCATATCCAGGCTAACATAAACACGATAATTTTTCTTTCTCAAGTTAATCAGAGATGTTCTAAACGTGAGTGAGATGACACTGAGAAGCCCAGTGCCTTCCTGTCTTGGGAAGTACCGCGCTCTGAGATGCAGCATTGAGACTGTTCCCCCCAGCAGCTCGGAGTTTCAGGCTGTGACGTCTCTGCTGCGGGGCAGGTAACCGACTCAGAAATACTTGTATGTCTGATATTCTGGAAGTAGAACCCATTTGCACTGATACAGTGCTTCTTAACCCCAAAACACATGCATCTTTTCACAAAACGTGTTGCAGATACAAATGCACACCACCTATTATGTTACCAGAGTCATCACACAATCTAATAAAGAGCCCAGTGATGTCCAAAGAGAGTTTGAATGCAGTTTAAGGTTAATTAGCCTTTCTTCTTCTCAAGACATATGAAATACAAATAGTATATTGTTTACCAAAGGCTTTATATACAGGAACAGGGACAAGCCATTCAGGCAGTCTATTGGTTGTAAATGGTAGCCTCCAGGTGTTTTTAGTGCGACAATAAAATTCGACAATATGAGTGTTTTGTGGATCTTATAAATCTTAGTGCGCATGTTTGTATTCATGCTTTGCAGCAAGGTACAGATCCAACGGGTGCTGCGTGTCAGCAGAGGGGTGGAGCTTCAGATGTTTAAGAGTGAGCTCGGGAACATTAAGCCCCTCCTCCATTCCTCCAGCCCCAGAAACTTTGTGGGAGTCCTGTCTCGGTGAGCACACACACCAACCTGTTCTCATCCCAGGGCGGCAAATACCGACGCTTTCACAAAGCCTCTATTTTTGACGCACAAGGTACCCTTCAGCTTCCCAATGAAATACCTTTTTAAGATGTGGTTAACATTGTGACATGGTCACAGTTTGGTAGGGTTTATGCCCCAAAACTACTTGGTTAGGTTTAGGAAAAGGTCACGGTTTTGGTTGAAATAAGTATATTACATGACAATACTCACGTATGTGATGTTAAGAAACTTAAAACTTTAATTAAGTCACTTTGACTATACTACGTCACCTGACACAGATAGGTTACATTGGAGTTAGCTGAAATTCCAGGGCGTCTCATACGGACACTGAAGGGTACCTTGTGCATCAAATACCAACACTTTCAACAGCTGGAGAGGAGAACGCACTGCAATACACACACACACAAATACACTAGAATACAAATGTTGTATCATTAATTAAATATATTTTTATTATCATGCATCTAATAAAATCTGTATTTCTATTACATAGCGTGTGGAAAATGTATGTTGTTAACCTTAACCCCTAACCTGTTCTTTTACAGTGTGGGATGGTACTAAAGAAGAGCCTCCCATTTTAACTAATTGAGCGTCCTGAGATTCGACTTATCTGTCAAAGTGAAGTAGTTTTAACATCTGAGATGAAAATTGCTTTTTAAACTCCCTCTTTGAATTTCAAAAGCCATACTGTCTGCATTAAGGCAATATACCACCAGAGGAACATTAATTATTTTGGGTTAATTAAAGAAAAAAAATCTACCCTCTTCTATTGGCTGTAACTTTGAGTGCAGTTTTCTGGATTATGAATAAATAAATACATTTTCAAGCAGTAACCCTCTGGTGCTATTTGGAGCTGAGCCTGTGCAAAAATACTGTAATGTAACATGTTGTGCAATTTAAAGCAGTTATTTAAAATTCTGCATGGTATGGATGTTTTTTGTTCATGTGTAAATTACAATAAATGCATTTTACAGTAATGCTGACAGCTACAGTATAGTGCAGGTCTAAATCTTCACCAGAACAATTAAGAAATCTGACTTTGACTTTGATTATGTAACTCATAATTTTCCTTGTTCCTTTAGTGGTCTGCTGCTGCCCCGTGTTGGAGTGGAGCATCATGGGATAGAGAGAACAGATGTTGGTAATCTGGGCAGTGGAATCTACTTTAGTGATGCCATGAGGTTAGTAGAAATTTTGAAATGTTAATTCATAAACAACTTGTTTGACATATAACACCATCTTCCATACAAACATGGGTCCACTCACAAGAGACACATTAGTTAACTTTTCCTTAACTTGATTGACAAGTTACTCTTGTATTGCCTTAATAAAAAAAAAACATAATAATTTTAAAATCATATCTTTGAAAATACATTTTAATAAAGATAATATTGCACCAGTGGTCCTCAGTTACATCATCTAACTACACAGTCATCTTTAGTTAGCATGTGTTTTGTCCTCTGTCCACAGCACCAGTTTGAAGTACTCTAAGCCCAGTGAGACAGACGGCTCTCGGCTGCTTTTGGTTTGTGATGTGGCATTGGGACGCTGCAAGGATGTCCACAAGAGAGACCTCACACTGACCCAGGCTCCTGAGGGACACCACAGTGTGCATGGTGTCCGCAGCACCCATAAAACTCACTCTGAGTTTGAGGTAGGAATGTTTGCATCTACAGTAAGTTTAGAAAGAAAGATAAATAGACAGATGCATATACCTCTAAATAAAGTGTCCCTAATCTGAATTTTCATTCCTAATATGGGACACAGATCAGTTGTTTATCATGACATTGTGAACTGATAGGAGCAAGGCATTTAAATTAGATTTGTGCGCTCTGATGTCACTCAACCAATAGTCGAAAAGTAGTACTCTCATTTGCATAATGGAACAGAAATGTTAAAGGAAAACACAGAAATTTATACATTTGGGACAAAAGGAAAGGGAAAATAATATATACATAAATAAAATAAATTCATCATTATTTAGTAGATAGAGGGATTAATACAAAGGCAAATAAATACAGAAGCAAATGAAAGCAGAAATTTATGTCACATTTATACATTAATTATTGCCTACATTTATTGTTTATATTAATATTGGTGTCATTTTTAAATAAATAAAGGAATAAAAGCAAGTGTGTACAATATGTATTTTTAAGATTGTGTTGCAGATCATCAATAAGCTGAGGGAAATGAACAATGAATGACTTTACCGATGAGTTTTCACATTTAAATTACAGGTGACTGTGAAAAGTATTCTCTGAAGACAGCAAGTGTTATCAATTATAATAAACAAAATTTAACTTGATTTAACATCACACAGCCTTAACGCATCTAAATGTCCATGCCTCTAACATGTATAATTATATTTCTGCTCCAGGATGACGAATACGTGGTGTACAGTCCTGAACAGGTGAAACTGAAGTACGTGGTTCAGTTTAGCATAGAGGGAGACCAAATAAAGGAGTTCAGTCCTGCCATCAATACCTCAGCTGAGCCTAGCCTGCCCTCTTCTGACCAAGGTGGGCGCCGGACAAGTATAGTTCTCATAAGGGTCCGCAGTTTAAACATTAAAATCTGATGGTTACACACCACAGTAGAGGTTTGTTTACACGACTGAGAGAATTTTCTGGTTTCTTCAGCTCATTTTCAACCACTTTGATAAATTCAAAATTGTGCCATCAACCCTACTATCATACCATTGAACCCCACCATCATAGTACCGACTCCACTCAGCTAAAGTGTGGAGTAGTTTACTTCAGACAACAGGACAGTAAAAAAGAAAAATGCCAGATTTTTTGTTTTTGACTGTAGTATCCAAAAGCTGTTTCAATAAAACAGAGAATACATTAAACAGAGAGAAAAAACATGTCAATACTCCACATAAATACAAAACCTTTCAGCCACATGAATACAACCCACACACAATTAAATAAAATACAGTTTTTATAAACCCTGTCCTATTTCTACTACTGCATTCGCACAGCATGCGCGCACACACACACAGACTGCCTTGTGTCACTATTTTTCGTGGTGACATGGTCATTGACATAATGCGTTCCTTAACCCTAACCCTCACAACTAAGTGCCCAACCCTGAACCAGACCCAATTCTAACCCTAAAACCAAGTCTTAACCCTCAAATAGTCCTTTAAACTTCCCAGTCCAGCATTCCTGGTCCCAGTTTTTGGCAAGACAACAGTACTAGAGTGGTTTTGCAAACCCAGCAGTTGCGTCTGTTTAAGAATATCTATATCATTATTGGCCTTTAAAAGACGAGGCATGTCAAACCCACTACAGCATAGACGCGTCACTTAAAACTATGAAATTTGCAAATAAGTAAAAATTTGCCTAAGGGCAATCCCATATTTCCAAATACACCTTGGAGTTAATTATCATCATCAGGGATGGTGTTTTGCCTTGTTAACTATCACATCAAAGAAAGTTATTATAATTTATCACATTTCCATGCAGAGGTAACTGAACTTATATCCTGAAGAATGATGTTGTAAATTGTGTAAGCCTGAGGTCTTTAAGGATGTGGAATAAGATAAGAAAACCTTTATTGAATCCACGTTGCTTCTACTCTATAAAGCATGAAAAATTTAAAATACATACTGCACCAAATACAGCATACATAATTAGTAATTATTATGAAAGTGGGTTGAGACACTAAGTAGCAATGGAATAATATTTGAGCCTTGGGTCACAAAAAAGAAAGGCGTTATGTTTTATCAGTGCCAATTTCATAAGTAATACAGACTGTTGCTTTCTTGGTTTTACATCGTTTTTAATTTACTTGTTTTTTTTTTTTGTATATTTTTTGATGATGTCCTGTATTGTTTTGATAGCAAACAAGCATTTTATGTGGTGTGTGTGTGTGTAGAGCTCGGTTTGGAGGATGACGGGGTTGAAAGCATTAAAAACCCACTGGAGGGTGTGACAGCTGGACTTTTGGACAGCTCTGGTCAGCAGCTCCCTCTGCAGGCCGTCCACGTGAAGTGCAAACTGATGGATCTGCTCTCTCAGGTGGCTTTTTCTCTGTTAGGTTTTTGATAGCTGAGTGGTTGATTTTATTCAGCTTCCTAAAAAAAACTAATTGCAGTGTTTACTGGCTCAATCTCAAATCAAGCACTGAAAGTATACGTCTCTCATCTCGTCTCTGTCCTCTTTTAGGTCGTCATTTTCCAAAAGTACACCAATCTGAGCTCTGTGCCAATTGAGGCCAAGTATGTCTTCCCATTGGATGATTCTGCAGCAGTGTGTGGATTTGAAGCTTTCATCAATGGGAAACATGTGGTGGGACAGGTAACGTAACATTCTTTTATTTACATTCATTTATTGTATTTCCTTGTTATCTATGTTATTTCTTATTATTTATCTAAATTTACTGACATGATATTGTAAATTCCCCTTCTGTAAATGACACAAAGGAAAATGAAAAGGCTCAGTTTGATATTCTTATGAAAGCCAAACTGTCATTTAGAGTATGCATCCATTTAATCACACCAGGTGTGTGGTATCACTCTTGTACTGTACAGTATTGGATTTTTTGTGCACATTGTGAGCAACTGTTGACAAGCTGCTCTTTTCTGATTGACCGCTCAGTGATTGGAGACATTTTCAAGTAGTCATTGTATTGTAAACCCCATCCACCAGTACCACACAAAGGATAAAACTAACATTATGGATTATTAGCAAAACCAATTTAACCTTGTTTTTTGTGTCTGTTTGGAACTCAGGTAAAGGAGAAAGAGACGGCCCGCAAGGAGTACAAGCAGGCTATTGAGAAAGGCCATGGAGCCTACCTCATGGACCAGGACGCCCCTGTATGTTCACCCTCTGCACTCAACCAATCCTGAAATATTAGACCGCACAATCAGTATACCACAATATGTATCACCCTTTTTTACAGCATTCCATTAACTTCTTCAGCTCATCAAAATGATACAGAAAAGTTTGTATAGTTATAAAGTGGGAATCGCTGAGAAGAATCCAGTTAGAAGTGCAAATCAGAGCCTGGCAATTTCAAAAGGCTTTGTCATTGCAGTTGCAATAAAAACATTAATACTGCACCTTGGAAGTCGTAGTTAACTTCTCCCCAGAGGTGATGATTAAACCGAGAGAGTTTCAAGCAGTAGAGGAGCTCAAACTGTGAGTCAAGTAACATTGGCTAGAGAAAGATAATATGGGGATAGTATGGGGATTTTACTTCCGGATCCAGAGGCGCCTGAAATAGCTCCTCCCACTTCAAAACTCTGTTGTTACACTGGTTGTGATGTTATTTTTGTGCTCACTGCAGGATGTGTTCACCATCAGTGTGGGCAATCTGCCCCCGGGTGCGACTGTCCTCATTAAAGTCACCTTTGTGTCTGAGCTGATCGTCAGGGACGGGAGCATCCTCTTCTCCCTCCCTGGGAGTGTGGCTCCGTGGCAGGAGGGTGCAGCGCTCAACCAGACCACACAAGTAAGCAAAGAGGGGATGGGATGCCTGACAAAACCTAATAAAATCCCACCTAATAGTAGCAGTTCCTTTTCTGCAGGCTGTCAATAGTGTTAAAACGGCAAGAAAACAATAGGAGGACAGTGTATTTGTGTCACTGTGATTTCTTATTTCTCTTTTGATGGATATTTTAAATTATTATTTTCTTAAAAAGCAATGAAATGTATGAGATAGCTGTCTCACTTTTACATGAACCACTCATCACAGAAGAAATTTTAAATTGAGACCAAGTGTTTCTGTATTTCCATATTTCTTTTGCCACATTAGGGTTGTGTCTTTCTATCTTGGCTAGTGCTAAACTGTCCTCACTGTCGTGGAAATTATATTCCTGGTGAGGGGTTAAGCAAAGAATTGAGTAACAACCAACCGTTGTCTTTGAAGAATTTATTTAACAAAAGAGAATAAACAGAAGTACTAAAACACATATACAGCTGGTCCAGAGACCTGCTGCCTAGGGCGGCATTGGGCGTCTAGGCCCGAGCAAAGGGATGCATTATCATTTACACAGTCTAGGTTTCTATGTTTTGGGGAACAGAGATCTTCTCGGCCTTGAATTAACATTCCAGGAGAGGAGAGGAACAACAAGAGGAAATCGCCAAAACAACCTCACAGCTCTGACCTAAACTCTAGTAAATGTGGACAGACTAACATAAGGAGTATAGGAGAGAAAAGGTTAAGGATAAAAAAACACACACTGGTTCCATCAGATAAAAGTGTATGCATTACTCACCAATCTGATGGTCCTGTCACTGGAAAGAAATTGATAATAAAGAGTTTGGTCTTTATTTGTAAATTAATTCCCTAAAATGAATTCAATTAGTTTAATTAGTTTCAGACAATCATATGTTAATATCTTAATATTTAACAGTCACAAGCTTTGACGGTTGATTGTTATAAAGGATCCACCATCTCCACATTTTTGTTAATTGTAAAACCACATCAACAGAGACTTGATTCAAATCAAATTTGATTTCTTGCTTTAAACTCATTTGGGACCCCTTGGGGCACCCTGATGGCATCTATGTGCACATTAGGATCAATAGAAGAAAAGTCTGGGATGGAGCGTTTCTGCCTGTGAGGCTGTGAGGCTTCATATAGCATGATAAGGACATCCAATGCCAATACTACTCTCGCGCATGTACCTCTCCATCCTTCCTGGCAGAGTTTGGTACAGCCGGCCACTCCCACAAGACCAGCGCTAGGCTTGTATGCAGTCTGTGTTTCTGTCTACCGAGCAGTCCCAGGTGTGTGAGCACACACCAGGGAAATGCCCCACCGACTGACCAGCTGTGTGAACCTTGGAATGACTCTCACCTTGGTGAAAACATTCAAATTTGATGTCTGTTGCTACTGTGGTGTTTTGAGGAGTTGGTATGGCGGTGCTTAAGTGGGCAAGGAATGGATATTTAGCCTAAGTTTCTAACAGGTCTGTGTCGACTTTGTAGCTGCGGGCGTCGGAGAGTGGGAAAGGTTTAAATTTGGAAACTACTGCTTTAATTTTGTATGGAGTTCAGAGGAAAAGAGAGGGTATTGGGTCTCATCGTATGTGGGGGGCTCGGTATTGAAAGTAAAATGACTGTAAATGTTCTCCTCTGTTTTTGTGCGTTTTCCATCGTTCAACAGGTCACTGTGGAGAAGGTGTGTGTGACCGATGAGGAAGCAAGTACGAGGTAATCTGAATTATGTGTGTTGAATATTTTAATTCAGTTTACTTTTAACAAAATGTTTAATCCATGAGATAGTTGTTTCCTGACTCCACCTTTAGTGCTGAATGTCCAGTGGTGTAATGTGGTGAAACAGTGGACAAATAATCAATCACTGACAATTGTGTTCAATCGTTTGTCATTTAACAAGTCAAACATTTTCACAGAAAAGTGTGTGCGTTGTTCTATTGTGTGGAATGCACACTTCAGTGTGTGCAGCTAGAGGCTGTGTTCAATGTGTTGTTTCTTTCCCTTAGAGAGTTCACCCTGGACATGTCAATCGAGATGCCCTATGAGATCTCCAGCCTAAAGAGCACCACTCACAAAATCAAGATGAAGGTCATTTGGATGTATTCACATCTTAATAATGATAAACTTCATTTTGACTATACAGATATTGTTACATGTTTGTCAGTTTTTCTCTGTTGGATTGGGTTCCTGCACAAGTCAAGAAATTCTACAAATGTATAGAAAAAGTGTAGACATAAATTTAGACAGAAGTCTACCCAACTATGCTGAATGCCTTAATATTCAATATGGATCAAGGAATTAAGTTCTAGAAATTAATTTTGAAATGGGAACATTGTCACTTTGCACAACCTGCATACTGCATAAAATGTTTTTACTGTTTCATGTATTTCTACAAATGGGGTTCAACTGTATATCTCACATTTGCTGAAGGGATGACTTGATAAATTGAGAAGTCTATCAGCAGATTATTTGTTATAATTAACTAAATCTCTTAATGATTTTTTTTACATGTCAAAATACTAAAGATTAGCTTGTTACAGCTTCAGTAGAATATGCTTGCCTTTCTGTGTTTATTATATTAGAAGTTGATTTATTAAATTTTTTTCTTCAACGTTCTTCTTTTAAAATAATTGTAGGTCTAGTTTGAGTTATGCCATCATTGACGCAGATTTGTCATCACATCATCGAAACTATGCTTGATGTTTTATCTATTACAACATTATAAAAGTAATCATTACTTGCATAGCTAGTTCCTTTCCTCTATTTTATGTTTGTTTTTTTTCTTTTCTGTGTGTGTGCTTATGTGATCCCATAGAGAACAGACTGTAAGGCGGTGGTGAGCGTGCTGCCGGGAGAGGTCATGGGTCCAGAAGGTTTCCAGCTGTCAGTCACTCTGTCTGAGGTGCACCTGCCTAGGATGTGGGTTGAGAAACACCCTGACAAGGACAGCCAGGTCTGTCTGTCTGCCTGCCTGCCTGCCTGCCTGCCTGCCTGCCTGCCTGCCTGCCACTGTGTTACCTGTTTGTTTTTTTTAACCATCTCTCACTCTCTCCTCTAGGCCTGCATGTTGGTTTTCTATCCAGACTTTGACATCAACTCCATTTCAGCATCCGATGAAGTCGTCCTGTTGCTGGACACATCTGAGTCCATGAAGGGAGAATCTCTCCGCATGGCCCAGAGAATTGCCCTGCAGGTCCTCAAAACCCTTGACCGAAACCTCAGACTCAATGTCATTTTCTTTGGCACAGGTCAGTTGTTTCCTTTTTAAGTTTTTGCGTTGCCTATGCAGTGATAATACTTAAAAAAGAGAAGGTACAAGTTGGCAAGGTGAGACAAACTAAAAGTCACTGTTAAATAGGAAGGTAAAACTGAAAATGGCAAACGGTGAAAGGGATTTATTTTACTACATTAAATAATAATAAAAAAATAATGAGGAAAATCATTATTGTGTTATGGAATACAACTGTGGTGAAGACTTTTTACATGGTACAATTTCTCATTGATCATTATCCTACTGAATATTTTGCTAAAATAACTAATGACTACAGTTGTCAGTTATCATTTTCTTGTCCTTTACTGTGGTTTTGTCTGTCAGATCACACAGAAACTTTCCCGACAGCACAACCTCTTGCTGAATCTCGTCAGGCAGCCGAGAGCTTCATCAAGGTGAGTTATGACTGGCAGATTCTTTCATGCTGTAGTTCAACGTGGAAGCCATTGTTATAAGGAATATTGAGTAATGTTGCCAGAGAACTCTGACATGAAGCAAGCATATATTATATTTTAAGTTAAAGAGTTGTTTAGATGTTATCTGTGGTATTTCAATTTTATAAATAACATCTTAAACTATGAAATTATCAGACCTGAGTTTATATACTGTAATATCAACTTAACTACACAAAGTCATCACTGCTGTGTTACTGTACGGCTATTTTTACTGCCGTAAAAAAAAGTGTGCTTTATGTTTTCTGAACTTGTCTGAGTGCTGAGCTGTCTGAAAATAAAACAGGATACACTTGGCTGGACTGGTAAATGTAAGGTGAATTTCTTATGTGAATTTAGGATTTTCTGTATTAGATTTTTAAAGTAAGTAACAAGTGGTTCATTGACAGAAGTGTTTTTCATTTCTTTAAAATTTATACTTCACAGTTTACAGTTTACTAACTTCACAGTGTGTGTTATTTTAAAGTAACTGCCAGTGGTGGTGCATTTGTAGCCATTCTGCAACAGTTTGTTGACATGTTTGTAGTTATTTTCAGTGAGATACGTCGGTGTCAGAAATTCCAGATACCTCTGATTTGGAATAGCAAGTCAGAGATTTGACATGAACAACTTTTCCCAATTGGCTGCTTGTAACTACGGTTTCATGTTATGACGTGAGCGTTACCATATGCCTGTGTGTCCTGAAAGCTCTGCTCCTCTACCGCCTATCAGCGCTTCTCTCCAGTAGGAGGCAGCACTGAGCTGTGGCGGCCCCTGCGAGCGCTCAGCCTGCTGCCTCCGTCCCGAGGCGTCAGGAACCTGCTGCTGCTGTCGGACGGCCACATCCAGAACGCAGAGCTCACCTTGCAGCTGCTCAGAGACAACGCTCAGCACAGCCGCCTCTTCACATGCGGCCTCAGGTCTGAATGGATGGAGGGGTAGTAGGTCACGGGGCTGTAAAGATATGGATTTCTGATTTTTATCATTTAAAGGTTCACTCATGATTTAGCTAAAATGACTAACAGAGCCCCAAATTACAAGAACATCCTTTTAGCTAATTGTTTATGTTGATGAATACTGTGCTACAACAGTCGATGACACTGTTAAAAATCTGCAGCAGTCTACGACAGTCTCAGTCAGACACACACCTTTGAAAGGTGATTGAAAAAATGCAGACAGGTCAGAACTCTCTGAGCTCTAATGACAAACACATTTATACATTTGTCACACACAGCTTTTGTCTACAGTCCTGTAGGGACAACAATAGAAACTATTATTGTGTTTTAATCCCTCTGCATGATCAATAAATAAATAAAATTAGCAGCTTTTTTTATTAAAGAGGTTTTAAAGGTGTGTTTTTCTGTTTCTTTGTCATTGCAGCCCGACAGCCAATCGGCACATGCTGAGAGCCCTGGCCCAGGCAGGGGGTGGAGCCTTCGAATTCTTCGACACAAAAACCAAACACAACTGGGCAGAGAAGGTGAGACTTACTACCTTTAATCATTCACAGATAAACAAACAGTATATTCAGATTTTATGTTCCTGCTAGTAATTATTGTGTAAAGGTTGTACGGCTGGTCCCTATTTTGTGGTTTTCATTTTTTGCATCTTTTTTTCACTCATTTGGTAATAAATAAAAAAAATAGGATATAACTACATTTCCTTAGCACCTAAATGAAAAGAAATTATTTAATCTTAATTTACTGCACCAATGTTACAAATGTTTCCACCCAGTCCTGGTATTGTATTGTTGCACTCTTGTACCTCGAATGAAGTGCATTCAGTACCATTTCAGAGCATTCCCTTTTAGAAGACCGAATGCATGATCATTACATTTATTCATTTAGCTGACACTTTTATCCAAAGCAACTTACAATTGTGTCTTATCCACTATTCCATCACCACCCAACATGATCATTCATGTTTAAATGACTTCTGCACTGGCCAAGTCAGTTCAACACAAACAGGCTTTACTGACAGAGCATTAACAGAAAGGTTCAAAAGGCTCTTGAACTTGTTTAGATTTCAGAGAGGGAGCAAAAGTTTTGGAGAGATCTGTCAATCCGCAACTTCACATTCAATGATGTTTCTCAAAAATCACAGTGCGATGTACTATTTCAGTTTTGAATCAGTATGTTTCCATTATTCTCTATGTTTTAGTTATTAGTCCTGCTGCATTTCAGCGAAAAAATAAATCAATTAAACCAAAATATGTATAATAACAAATACTCCAGATCTTGTCTACATCATGTTAGTCACATATCCCCAGGTCACTGAATGGTAACTACAATATTTTGTTCTGTTTAGTCTTTCTCTAAGTCTCCACATGTGGCCAGTGGCCACATTGCAGACATGCAGCACCATCCCAGGCGATACCCTGGCAGTTCCCAAGAGGATCTTTCCGACCTAATGCATTTGCAATGCAACCAACAGTCATAAAATGTGACAATACACTTTCACAAAGAATAAAGTAACCTCTTGATCTGTTTACCCTTTTTTTGTGTGTCTTGGCTGCAGGTGGCTCGTCAGGTGAAGCGTATGGCTTCTCCTGGTTGCAGTTCAGTTTCAGTGAAGTGGCAACAATTTAATCCAACAGCGCCCCCTCCCGTGCAAGCTCCCAAGCAGCTCCATGCTCTGTTCAATGACTGTCATACCCTGGTTTATGGCTTTGTGCCGCACTGCACTCAGGTACGCTGTTTATATACGAGACAAACTGAATTACTGCAGAATTACCTTTTTTCTTGTGTTTCTTGCAGATATTTTTGTAAATGTGTTTATTATTCTGTGCAACTAAAGATAATTTTTTTACCATTAATGAATTGGTGCTATATAAATAAAATTTAATCTAATCAGTTTGATCAACTGTTTCGTATATATTACTGGTGAAAAATGCTTAATTTTGAGCTGAGCTCAAGTTGATATATTCAAATGCCTTGTTTTCTTTAACTCTCAAAAACACACAAATGGATATTAAATTTACAATGATACAAAACAAATTAAAGCAGCAATCCACATATTTAAGAAGCTATAAGTCAGCAAATATTTGGCATTTATCTTTAATAAATTACTCAAATAATTGTGACTTGCTACAGGCCACCCTTCTTGGTAACCTGAGTGGTCAGGAGCTCAAAACCATGGTGTCAACCAGTGAGCTGCAGAAAACCAGGGGCACAGTAAGAACTCTCACACTCACACTCAACAGTACCTGCTGTATATGTTTAATATCAGTTGATGAATCTGTTTGTTAACTGACAGGCTCAGCTACCAAAAAAAAAATAATGCTGTTACACTGTCTCCCACAAAATACACACATCATTAGTTATACGATGCAGGTTAATAGTCATTATCTTGAGGATGATGAGGCGATGATTATGATGTGTATTGGTGTGTGTGTGTGTGTGTGTGTGTGTGTGTATTTCAGTTTCTGCACAAGCTCACAGCAAGGGCCCTCATCAGGGATTATGAAGACGGAAGCCTGGACACCAATGAAGCTGAACATGAGGTGTGTTTTGTGCGTGTCATTGAATGAGACCGCAAAGCAACCCACCTTGGTTGAGTTGTCTTGTCTGAGCTCCACAGGTTTAACGTGGATTTTTACTTTCCCAGGGGAAGAAAGCAGAGTTGAAGCGCTTCATCATCGAGTTAAGCAGAGAGTTCTCCATCCTGTCTCAGTTCACCAGCTTTGTGGCCATCGAGGAAAGGGTTTGTGCAATTTTCACGTTACATTTAGACTGATATTTCATATCTGAAAGCTGCCCAGAGCAGCCAACCCACTCACTGTGGATTTGAAGGTTTTGTTACATCATATTTTGTAGCTCCCAACCAAACCAAACTCATCTACCTTGTTTTAGGACTCAGAACAAACAGAGACGGGTTTCACAGACATCCCCAAGCTGATCGCAGAGGAAGATGTGGATGTCCTCCCCTACATCAGCTGGATTTCTCCTCAGGATAGTTATGAGGAAGGAAGGAGGGAAGAGTTGGATTTGAGTGATTTGATAACGGTAATGTCACTCTGTGTGTAGTGTAATCAGTGGGGAAAGAAAAGAGCAAAGTTACTTGTGAATGTTGTTAATTACCCTGTTTTATGACTTGCAGCTATCTCTCTGTTGTAGGAAGGTGCATGTTTTCAGGAGGGTGAAGATGAGAGAGACATTTCTGTAGGAGCCAGAGCCTATGCAAGATATTCACCCGCGGTTAGTTCGTTCACCCACAAACTGCATTCTCCATCCTGCACAGTCCTCCCTCCAGTCTCAGTTCACTAGCTTTGTGGCCATAGAGGAAAGAGGTTGTGTAATTTTGAGCACAATTTTTACATTTATACTTAATATCTGGTAGCTGCACAACGCAGCCAAACCACTAACCATGGATTTGAAGGTTTTGTTAGATCATGTTTTGCAGCTCCCAACCAAACGCATCTAGCTAGTTTAAGGATTCACAATAAACACGAGCGCTTCATTGAAATCCTCGGCTGTAGTTCTGATAAAAATTGTGAAGAGAACAGAGGGACAGAAGAAGTGGAGGACTGTTTCAATGTTTTCATGATGGTAACATCACACTGTGTGTAATGTAATCCGGGGGAAAGGAAAGAGCAAATTTACTTGTGATTGTTGTTAATTGTCCTGTTTTATAAGCTGTAGCTGTCTCTCTGTTGTAGGAAGATAATTATCTTGATGAGGATGAAGATGAGGGAGATGTTTTGGCAGATGAGGCCGAAGTCTCTCATGATTATTCACCCACGGTTAGTTCGTTCACCCACAAACTGCATTCTCCATCCTGCACAGTCCTCCCTCCAGTCTCAGTTCACTAGCTTTGTGGCCATAGAGGAAAGAGGTTGTGTAATTTTGAGCACAATTTTTACATTTATACTTAATATCTGGTAGCTGCACAACGCAGCCAAACCACTAACCATGGATTTGAAGGTTTTGTTAGATCATGTTTTGCAGCTCCCAACCAAACGCATCTAGCTAGTTTTAGGATTCACAATAAACACGAGCGCTTCATTGAAATCCTCGGCTGTAGTTCTGATAAAAATAGTGAAGAGAACAGAGGGACAGAAGAAGTGGAGGACTGTTTCAATGTTTTCATGATGGTAACATCACACTGTGTGTAATGTAATCCGGGGGAAAGGAAAGAGCAAATTTACTTGTGATTGTTGTTAATTGTCCTGTTTTATAAGCTGTAGCTGTCTCTCTGTTGTAGGAAGATAATTATCTTGATGAGGATGAAGATGAGGGAGATGTTTTGGCAGATGAGGCCGAAGTCTCTCATGATTATTCACCCACGGTTAGTTCGTTCACCCACAAACTGCATTCTCCATCCTGCACAGTCCTCCCTCCAGTCTCAGTTCACTAGCTTTGTGGCCATAGAGGAAAGAGGTTGTGTAATTTTGAGCACAATTTTTACATTTATACTTAATATCTGGTAGCTGCACAACGCAGCCAAACCACTAACCATGGATTTGAAGGTTTTGTTAGATCATGTTTTGCAGCTCCCAACCAAACGCATCTAGCTAGTTTTAGGATTCACAATAAACACGAGCGCTTCATTGAAATCCTCGGCTGTAGTTCTGATAAAAATAGTGAAGAGAACAGAGGGACAGAAGAAGTGGAGGACTGTTTCAATGTTTTCATGATGGTAACATCACACTGTGTGTAATGTAATCCGGGGGAAAGGAAAGAGCAAATTTACTTGTGATTGTTGTTAATTGTCCTGTTTTATAAGCTGTAGCTGTCTCTCTGTTGTAGGAAGATAATTATCTTGATGAGGATGAAGATGAGGGAGATGTTTTGGCAGATGAGGCCGAAGTCTCTCATGATTATTCACCCACGGTTAGTTCGTTCACCCACAAACTGCATTCTCCATCCTGCACAGTCCTCCCTCCAGTCTCAGTTCACTAGCTTTGTGGCCATAGAGGAAAGAGGTTGTGTAATTTTGAGCACAATTTTTACATTTATACTTAATATCTGGTAGCTGCACAACGCAGCCAAACCACTAACCATGGATTTGAAGGTTTTGTTAGATCATGTTTTGTAGCTCCCAACCGAACGCATCTACCTAGTTTAAGGATTCAGAATAAACACAGGAGCGCTTCATTGAAATCCTCGGCTGTAGTTCTGATAAAAATAGTGAAGAGAACCAAACTCATCTACCTTGTTTTAGGAGTCACAACAAACACAAAAACTGTTTGGCTTACAGGGTGGATTCTTCAAGAACGGATGGACAGAAGGGGAGGAAGAGTGTTTTGAAACTTTGCCGATGGTAACATCACTCTGTGTGTAATGTAATCAGGGGGAACGAAAAGAGCAAAGTTACTTGTGAATGTTGTTAATTACCCTGTTTTATGACTTGCAGCTATCTCTCTGTTGTAGGAAGGTGCATGTTTTCGGGAGGGTGAAGATGAGAGACACATTTCTGTAGGAGCCAGAGCCTTTGCAAGATATTCACCCGCGGTTAGTTCGTTCACCCACAAACTGCATTCTCCATCCTGCACAGTCCTCCCTCCAGTCTCAGTTCACTAGCTTTGTGGCCATAGAGGAAAGAGGTTGTGTAATTTTGAGCACAATTTTTACATTTATACTTAATATCTGGTAGCTGCACAACGCAGCCAAACCACTAACCATGGATTTGAAGGTTTTGTTAGATCATGTTTTGTAGCTCCCAACCGAACGCATCTACCTAGTTTAAGGATTCAGAATAAACACAGGAGCGCTTCATTGAAATCCTCGGCTGTAGTTCTGATAAAAATAGTGAAGAGAACCAAACTCATCTACCTTGTTTTAGGAGTCACAACAAACACAAAAACTGTTTGGCTTACAGGGTGGATTCTTCAAGAACGGATGGACAGAAGGGGAGGAAGAGTGTTTTGAAACTTTGCCGATGGTAACATCACGCTGCGTGTAATGTAATCAGGGGGAAAGAAAAGAGCAAAGTTACTTGTGAATGTTGTTAATTACCCTGTTTTATGACTTGCAGCTATCTCTCTGTTGTAGGAAGGTGCATGTTTTCGGAAGGGTGAAGATGAGAGACACATTTCTGTAGGAGCCAGAGCCTTTGCAAGATATTCACCCGCGGTTAGTTCGTTCACCCACAAACTGCATTCTCCATCCTGCACAGTCCTCCCTCCAGTCTCAGTTCACTAGCTTTGTGGCCATAGAGGAAAGAGGTTGTGTAATTTTGAGCACAATTTTTACATTTATACAGATATTTCGTAGCTACCCAGAGCAGCCAACCCACTAACCATGGATTTGAAGGTTTTGTTAGATCATGTTTTGCAGCTCCCAACCAAACGCATCTAGCTAGTTTTAGGATTCACAATAAACACGAGCGCTTCATTGAAATCCTCGGCTGTAGTTCTGATAAAAATAGTGAAGAGAACAGAGGGACAGAAGAAGTGGAGGACTGTTTCAATGTTTTCATGATGGTAACATCACACTGTGTATAATTTAATCAGGGGGAAAGGAAAGAGCAAATTTACTTGTGATTGTTGTTAAATGTCCTGTTTTATAAGCTGTAGCTGTCTCTCTGTTGTAGGAAGATAATTATCTTGATGAGGATGAAGATAAGGGAGGTATTTTGGCAGAAGAGGCCGAAGTCTCTCAAGATTATTCACCCGCAGTTAGTTCCTTCACCTGCTGCTGCACATTTGCTATTTTTGGGGGGGACAACAAATGCATTTGATGCTATTTTTAATGTAGTGTGAAAAATAAAAAAATAGTTAGGTTAACTAACTCTAAATGTGCATCATATTCTTGTGTGGCATCATACACATTATTTTTTAAGCAGAGCAATCCACACTGCTCCATTAATTTGCTGTGGTATGTTGATGTGTAAAGTTATTGATAATCCTTATTAAATTCTTCCTGCATGCACTTAACAGATGCAATTTAATGTGACAGCAGAGGCAGGCCATTATTGTAAAAAACCTCCTTCGGATTTGTTAAATAGTGGGGTCAGATAACAAACATGAATTTATCTAAAAGCAGATTTTTTTTGTGTGAACTGCAATGAACTTGTAGTATAGGTTTGAGTAGTTCACTTTTAATTTGTTGCAAAACTTTTGTTCTGACTCCAACCCTGTTTTTATTTTTTTTCCGTTTGTAGAGTCCTCCTTGTTCAGTTACTGCACAGCCTCAGAAATATCTGAACACCAATCAAGTCTTAGAGCGTGATCGCAAGAGACGGTACCGAAGGTCCAAAAAAGAGGTGCCTGAAAAGTTGGTTTCTTCAACTGAGCGAGCAACATTTCAAATGGACCTCAAGCATACTCCTTCTCTTGGCTTGTGTGACTCCACATACAACATGCTCCTCAAATCTGGTGCCTCTGCAGCCCCTCAACAACCCTGTCGCAATGAAGAAAGCTTGAGTGGCTCAGCACTTTTGCCATCCCAATCGCAACCTGTCAATTTTAGCTTATTTGGCTCTTTTATGCACTTCCAGTCAGAACCTACATTTTCTGCCTCTGCAGACACTCTACCTCCAGCCCGTTCAATTGATTGTAGCTCATTTGGCTTTTCACCTGCGCAGTTCCAGTCAGAACCTGCATTTTCTGCCTCTGCAGACACTCTACCTCCACCCCCTTCAATTGGTCGTAGATCATTTGGCTTTTCACTTGCGCAGTTCCAGTCAGAACCTGCATTTTCTGCCTCTGCAGACCCTCCACCACCTTTCAGTGATCATCCGTTCTCATCACTTCACCTTCCTTGCTCAGCTCCTCCTCCAAAAAAAACAATTCTAGTCAGTGAGTCACTGGAGGCACACAAGAGCTCAGAACGACAAGATTTTGGGATTGCATGTTATAGGAGTATATCACCACCCCCCGAACGTCAAGTCCAAGTTTTGAAACTGGCCAGTCATCTATTAAATGCTGACACTCCAAGTCCAGTTGATGCACCGAGAAAACAGAGGTTGCAAGAAAAAAGGTTGCGAACACTTGAATTACGAGAAACTCATGTAAGTCCAGTAGTGTTTTCTTCTGGGACAAGACTGGCCCTGGGAAAATATCCCCTTTGTTTAAAACGAAGGTCCTTGACATCTTTACATCACATGGGGTGAGTCCTAAAAAAACTTTTTTTTGATTTCAGATAACCCATATGGTGATTCTAGTGAAACTCTTGTTGTTGCCAAAATGCTAAACTTATTTTAAATGTTGCAAAGACTTTAAAATTAAAACAGACTAAATCATCTGTATATTAACTGACTAATGGATTGAAAGTTATTTGTGTGTGTCCTCAGTATGCATCTGTGCATGTGGAAAGAAGGAAAGTCATCATATGTGTGTGTTTTTATCTTGACATTTCTGGATGTTTTTGTGTTTATAATATATAACAGCTGTTCCATCAATGTCACTATTCACTAATAGTGTCCTGCTGTGATCACTTTGTTTCAGGAGAAGGTCAGCGGTTCCTGAAGCACTGAAGCTCAGATGGACAAAGATCTTCCAGATGCAGCATTCAGTAAGATATGAAAACATTTCATTGGGTCTACTTGAATGTAGCCACTGAACAGATGCCTTTGCTCTCCTGTAGAAAGTATATATATATATATATATATATATATATATATATATATATATATATATATAAATGTTAAATGTCATTCCTTGTACCTTACAATCTCTTAGCAAGCAATTCCAGTGCAATTATATTTTATGTAATGTACTGTATTACACTGAATAAATTTTGTACTTTTGTGCTAAGCAACTTGCAGTACTTACTTACTTTTTAACATTTAGCTGTCCTTGCATGCTTTCTTATACTAGCAGTCCTTGGGGAAGTGGAATATTGATGTTTTGCTGGCATAAGTTCTTATCACATTGCGTAGGAAATAAAAATTGAACCATTAGTCTTTGTCTTTGCAGGAGGGCTACTGGGAGTTAACCACAGACCTGGGTGATTTCATAAATGTCGATGTAGATGTCTTCGCCAACGTGTTCCTGAAAAGCAAGGGCATCAGTTCTCTAGGTGAGAACTTCTCAGAGCCTGTTTCTGTTTCTGTTTCAGTGCCATTTCTGATCATTTTGACCAATTTTAACATCTTCCTGGGACAAGACTGGGGCTATACAGTGGAGACAGAAATATTTACATCATTCGGTTAAGTAAAAGTACCATAATGTAAAATCACTCCATCACAAGTTAAATGTAAGTACATTGCATAATCATGTAAACATTATTAAATTATAATAACTATTTTTGAATATTCTCATGTTTTTAGAAAAGTAAGATGAATTAAAAGGTGGCGTGCTGCTCTACAGGTTGAGAAAAAGATTTAACCTCTATCCCTGTCTAAACTGTATTAAAAAATATCATCATGCAAAATCTCTTTCCACAATGTCCTGTGATTGTGGCCAATTTTCTTTGGGAACGTCCGTTCTAGTGAAGTTTGGAAATCTGAGTTTTTCCACACATCTAAACCAGGATTTGTGCTTTGGTTCTCACCAGTTCCCACCATTTTTAAAAATATGCATGTGTGTGTGGTAGGTGTGAGGGCCCATGCAGACATCCTGAAGCTGGTGGCGACTCTTCTGGTTCTGCAGCTGATGAGGGTGGAGAATCTGGAAGAAGGCAAACTGCTTCGCACCCTCTTCTGCATGGATGACTCCTCTCAGCCCAGGTCTGTCCAACACCAGAAAAATTGACATGAAGACAGTAAAATAAAGTGTCAGATGTTTTGGGGTATTTGTGATTATGAACAGAGTGTGAACCTAGAGGTACCTATTGCAAAATGCAAATCAAAATACATGTTCAAACTGGACATGTTAGGGACAAAAAGACGTGTGATGTCTTGTATTAATGAAGCAAACATTCTCTTCCTTACCCGCACGTACAGCCTTAATATATAGAAACAAGTGACATTAGATATAAAAAAGTCTTTCAAAAACAAAATATAAAATCAGTCCAGGATGAGCACAAAGGCTTACTTTGTCAGAAGAGGAACTCGTGTAAGAGGAAGCAGTCTATACATTATACAAAAATTGATTTTCATATGACCTTTATAAAGTTCTTCTTAAAATGAAACATACCTTATAATATACTATTGTTCTCAGTTTTGGAAGTGGTTTCATTTATTGTAGTGTCTGGATGATTCTGTAAACGGTGCTGCTGCTATTCCCTGAGTGGCTCCCTGTTTTGTAAACGACTGACTTTTTCTTCCAGGCCTGAGTGGTGGGAGGAAGTGAAGAAGGCGGTGGACTGGGTTCGCTGGGCTGACCGGCAGTACCCCTGTGTCTACAGCCGGCTGGAGTTTGGTTCGAGCTGGGAGTCCTCCACCCGTCAGCTGCTGGGCTACGAAGGCCTCCCTCCCTTCTCACCTCTCAGTGGTCTCAACCTGCAGAGGAACGCTACCCCTGTACTGGTGCACTGAGCATGTCAACATGACTGAGCGAACATGAAGAGTTGATGGTGTGAGGGATATTCATAACCTGTTTGCCTTTTTGAAGGGATGCGATTATCTTTTAGATTTATTTTTTCATAGATATGCACATTTCTTTGCCTTATGTAAAGCAATTTTACATGCACTGAAATAACCAGATACAGTTGGCTTTCTGCAGTAACGTGATGAGAAACATGTTTCCTTCATGGGTAGGGTAATGTACTGGAGAAAGCTAATTCCATGACCATGTATACTTTGTTTAGTAGAGGATAAATCTTATGCCTGCTGCATGTATACACAGTGTTTGACTAAATGTCTAACCTTGTTTCAGTGAATGCACTGTGTATGGAAGTTGCTATACCAATGAATTGCCTTGCCTTACACAAATAACTTCCTTCCAGCATATTTGTTACTTCATTGTAGAATAGAAGTTCAAAAAGTAGAAAGACATACAGGGACTAAATGTAGAATGGAAACATTTTAGTATTTAAGTCCTTTAATTGATTAAGTTTAGTACTCAAGTACTCATTATGTTTTACTATTTGATGTTTTTGGATCAATATGTAAGTTGCATTTTACTGCTGATTTACTGCTAGATGTTTGAGGGTGTGCTGATTTTATTTCTTTATATTCTGTTGGCAATGCATTATAAGATCATCATGTATTTGTAACTTCGCTGTCTTGTGAGAACAACATATCTCCAAAAAGTCAACTTTTCATGAGCTCAGAAAATCAGCCCTGTTTTCAGCTTTGTGACGATGCATTTTCCAGCTGATCCAAAGGGGATTGCTGAGTTTGGGTGAAGACATCATCACTATGAGTCAGCAGCAGAGAGAGGGATGAAGAAAGAGAAGTGGAAAGACCAAACATGGACACACCAACACACAAAAATTACACCCAAAGACAACATGAAGAGAGAATATTTAAGGGATAAGCAGAAGGCAGATCGACGTTATTCCTCTGCAGACCAAAAGACTAAAATAAGTGTTTGGGATTTGAACAACAAACAAAAAGGACGCTTCAGAATATCCCTCAGTGGATTTCAGGAGATCGAGGGACAGAGGATTACCACGTCCAAATTACCTGAAGAATTATTGCATTCTCTTGTTCAACTGCATGGACTGAGGACTTTTAGAGGCATTTTTGCGGGCTTTGAACAAAGCTGCAGTTCTAAAGCGGAGAAAGGATTTCACTGCAGGACAACTCCTTCCTCGCCCTCTCTCTCCAAATAGAAGACTTCCAAATTACTCAAACTCAGCAATTTTTAATCAGGTTTTGGATTTTTAATCAGTTATTATTGATCAATTTTAATCAGTATAAGTTGTATGCTTGCCTGTGCTTCATTTTGTAATAAAATTATAATCCCTGCATTCAAAGTACAAGTAGTAAACACTGTATTCATTTCTTCACCAAGGCAGTAATTCATTAGGTATGGTTTCTTTTAAAAACTTTTAACAGCTCTTATTGTTGGGGCCTATTTCCCTGTCCGCTAAATAGTATCCTAGCAACCATACCAAGTGCACTGATCAGTGAGAGGAGAACTGTCGTTAATGGGCGTGGCTGAGGTGGGATTTATCTCTAGGCATAGGTGTCATTTACACTGGGGATGCTGGGGACATGTTCCCACCACTTTTTTAAAGCATAATTTGTTACAAAACATTCTGAAATATAGCTTGTAGTTAAATAATAAAAATGCCTTTAGAAAGGTTTGCACATTAAGAAAACATGAAATGAGATTAAAATATAGAAGAAACAAATGCGCATTGTCCAAAAAAGTAACAAACAAAGCCAAAACAAACAAGCTACTGATTTTAAAATGACCCAAAAACGTGCATGGACCAATCAACAACTGCTGCACACAATTTCTGTTTGGCCAGGTTTTCCGTTTTCTCCCTGTGAGCGTGACAAAAGAGGAGGAAAGACTAAATCATGTTGCCTCAGCAGGGATAATATTACATGAGAAAAGTTGATTTACAGGAGAAACGGATCTGAAAGCAGCACAGAATGCCTGAGAGCTGCACTGCATTAGATTGTATTTTAAATTTTTTTTTTTTTTTTGAAATGTCACGTGCTACCTGAATTTTGTTTCCTTTTCCGTAAATAAAAACATTTCCACCATAAATTGGTGCAGAAACTGTCACCAGAAAGCAGGAAATTAAGTGTTTAATGTTTCAAATTTAGCCCCCTCCACTCCCCCTCTATATATGCTGGCATTGAGGATATCTTTTAAACACTGTTTGAGGATCTTTCGTCTCGTGAACCTAATATCGCGTACCATGATATCTCGTGAGCTACGTGTCTCTTCATACCAATCACTAATCTGAGCCCCTATGTCCCCAACCACTTTTCAACACAAAGTGACGCCCTTGTCTCTAGGTCTATAAAGTTGAGTGCTATTTCAGAGTAAGCAGGATAGGTGTCCGGACAAAGACAGTTAGAAGCAAGGAGAATGTCTTCGACACCATCTTAAACAGTCCCTAGTTTTAACCTAATAGGGTAATACCCATAGGCCTGGAGGATGGTCTTGTATGGTGGCCCATTCTGAAATTTCCTGCACATAGATGCCCTTATTATAATCCACTACTTTACTTTGGCGATCAGCGGTTTTGCTATGAAATACATATTATGAGAGACATTTAAAATGTAACTTTAAAAAGTTAAATCAGTCATGGTGGCAGTTGATATTGTTTTTGTTTGTGGGTAATCATGAAGAGAATTGAAATCTTAAAATGTTCCTTGAGTGCCTCCATATCCCTTTTTGTGTTTGTCGTCATTTTGACTCATTTGGAGATTATTCCCCTTTTCACTACACTCTCTGCTGTTAGGCCTCTTATTAAACCTGTCAAAAAGAGTTAATATACCACTTAAGCGTACAGTTTCTGTGTAGATGCCGCTCTGGTACTCTGTGTTGTGTCAGTAACATTTGCATGCCATCCTGTTGCCTTCAATTTCTCCCTCTCAGACCAAGCCCACAAGTCCCAGATTTCCAGGTGGTCGGTCAAAGAAACAGCAGTTGAAAGACACATCGTGCTTAGTTTCCTTCGCAATCAGAAGATGTCCAGCAGTGCCATCAGCTCAGAAGTGGCAGAAAACAGTGGGTCCCTGGTACATCAATCTACTGTCTGGAGAAGTCTGGTCAGAAGTGGCCGTCATGGAAGACTTGCGGCCAAAAAAGCCATACCTCTGATATGGAAACAAGGCCAAGTGACTCAGTTATGCACACAAACAGGAAAATGGCAGCAGGTGCTCTGGACTGACGACTAAAATATTGTATTATTTGCCTGCAGCAGAAGGTAGGTTATTCGCCAAAGGGGGTACAACAATTTGTGTCTGCAGGCAACAATGAAGCATGGTGGACCCATTTGCAGATTTGTGATTTTCTTATGACTCAGCTTGAGACATTACAAAGTAAAGCGGAGACTTTGTTACCTCATACTGTACATGAATTTCCCTTGGCTATCACAACACTACTTTGTGCTCCAATCTTTCACATAATGTCTTTTTAATTGGACCAACTCCTGACTGGCAGGTCACATTTTGAGCAGCTGTGAAAATACATTGTATTTCTGATCTCACTAATGAGTTTATTAATGATGTTTTATATGTATTCAGTGTATTTCTATCAGTAACATGATGCATTAACATTATATCCAAGTCTTACTAAAATGAGTTGTTTCTAACATTCTTCTGTTTAACCATGTTCCTTATATGAGCATCTTCATGCAAAGGGCAGCTTTAGATTGGATCAAGTAAATATATTAACTGGTGTGAATTCAGTTCAGGATCTCTCAGACATGCAGCATTATTTTAGTTTTTTTAAATTTGGGCTATTTGTTGGTTTGGAACATATGGGTTTCATAATGAACATTTTGAGGTTTAATCACAGAGACCTTGACCTGGAAACAACTATACATTTAACACAATAACCTAAACGATAACTAAAATTCTCAATATCAGGTTCAGTTTGAAATTACAGGCTGGTGATATAAAGCATTACTATTCAATTTCCCAACACGTGCTTTTTCAAAGGCGTCTCTCCTGCCAGGAATTAAAATGCTAAATGCTAGCTGCTGCGCTACATAGGCCTCACTCATTTCTCACTTCTAAGTAGTCTCAACCTGCAGAGGTCCACTGCACCTGTACTGGTCTGCTGAGCAAGCCAACATTTAGAGAAGATAGTGTGAGAGATACTCACCCCCGTTTGCCTTTTTTGAGAAGATGAGACTATTAATATGTTTTTTGTAGAAAAAAAATGTAAATTGAAAAGGACTTCTGACTACATTACACAGATGCAGAAGTTAAAAAATTGAGTTACAGTGGTGGATTGGTTATTTTTGGACAGCCTATTTTCCTCCCGTCTGAAACGTGGCACTTCCTCAGAAGTTGAAAAAAGGATAAATTGGAAGCAACAGGGTGTTCATTATTCACATGTAGTCCATGCTGCAAAGCTGACCTTCGAATAATAGTTGGCATCTTCACGAGCGATGGAGGACATCTACGTCAATGCTGAGCGTGTCAAACCTATCGACCCAAGACCTTCAATAAATCAAACGGGTAAGAATTTTTAATGTGACTGAGCTGTGAATGAATACATTTATATTGTCATCTGTCATTATTACAGTTCTACTATTCACTGTTTACACTTGTCTTCCCTCTGTTCAGCTCCTAGAAGCTCAGAGAGGAGATTTCATGGAGCTGTTGTTCTCTGTCTGGGGCTGCTGAGTGTCTTCCTGCTGGCTGAGCTCATCAGCCTCGGTGTCCACTGTGAGTCTGGTTTTCATAAGATAACTTTAGTTTGAACTTGTGATTTTCGAGAGCATTATTCTGCTCTGAAACGTGCACGTTTTACCAAAAAATTCTTGACTTTTGTTATCTTTTTTCTTTACTTGTTGTCCTTAAAGCACTTTTTACAGTTTCTGTCATTGACAGTCAGTTATGACTGAATGGATCCTCAGTTCTACATTTGAAAGACTTTCACTTATAAGATTTTGATCAACTCAAAATAACGCCTTTATACGGTGTTTTCCAAGTTTCACAATTGTTGCTGTGCAGGATTTTTTTTTACATTGTCTTGAAATAATACTAATAGTAATATGTAATTTGAGAAACACCACAGAATAAAATTAAATATTGATCTCTTTTCTGTGATGGTCTTCTTTCATGACTTTAGTCATTTTGTTCCTATACATATACTTAAGACAAGAATAGTTTGAGAGCAACTTAATGCTTTGTTAAATGAAGTAATTATAGGGACACACAAGGATTTATACTATTCAGGTAAATTGGTGACTCCGAATTGCCCAAAGCACTGAATGTGAGTGTAAATGTCTATCCAACAACTCCTCTAAATTAAACGACAAAAGAAAATTAGAGGAAGCAATTAGAGGAAAGAGCTTAAGTCAGATTTATTATCCTATTAAGTACATTTCAGATATTCAGTAGAATGTTAGCTACAACTGTCCTGATAAGTTTTCGGGAGCTTTGTTTCACTGCATATGGTAGTCATTAGGACAAGCCTGGGGTGAATTTTCTCAGTAAAAAGTACGGTACATTTGATTTCATGCCGGTATTTAAGATCTCAGTTTTTTCAATTACAATTACACTATTAAAGGACTTTTGTATAATTGTGAAAGTACTTTTAAATATATCATATCAAAAGTCTAAGCTATTTTTTCACATATCCATTTCAGAGAGTCATCACACCGCCGATCATTCCAGTTTCCTCCAGTTTTTGTGCTAGCCCGGATATGTGCACAGTCCTCTTCACCCCACTGAGGATCTCCATCACCATTATCAGGCTGCCGTGGCGACCAGTACCTAGGAGGTTAACAAGAAAGGGAATTTTCACAGGATTTTTCATGAGGTGATTTTAGAGCAGCCACGTCTGTAAGAAATGTTGGAAATTCACTTCAGCCTAATAAATAATATTTAGACATTCATATAAGCATAAACCTAGTAATGCACAGCAGTAGTTGTATATGTGTCTATATTCAAATAAGGTGTAGACCATTTACTGTATGCCTTACGACAGAGTCAGCGGAGTTCCATCAGTCCATTTCCAGGTGCCCTCATTTTCTTTGTCATTCAAACCAATCCAAGTGTCTTGATTGATGACTTTAGTGAGGAATTCCTGTTCAAGGAAAAGGAATGCAAGCCAGTATTTAGATTTTAGATTTTTCAAAATGTCAGTAGCTCAAAAATAGATATTAAATATTTTAATTGTAACCTAATCATTATAGCTATATATTTCAGATTTTTTTTTGTCCACATCTGTATCAACATACAGTACATATAGACAAATGTAAAATTTAATAACAGCATGGCATGATTCCATTGGGGTTTTTGTATGCATGTGAGAAACAAAAACATATGTGGATGAGAATGGCTGCATATTCTCTCCAGAGGGGAGCGGAGAGACACTTCTGGTGTGAGCTCAAGCATTGACTAGAGTGGCAGCGATCAGCTCCGGCAGCCGTGATGCAGACGGACTCAGTGGACTTTCGGAGTGAGTCTGGGGTCATGTAAATGACTTTGTAGCTGATGGGCCCCGTGATGAACCTCCGCCCCCACTGTGTTGAGACTGTAGCTCCGCCCCCGACTACAATAATCGATGGTGAATATTGTTGATTCAATGTCACAAATTTATCTCACAAAAAGGGATAGAGTCGAACACACAACCTGTTCTTCAGAACTGTCTATCACCACCAGATCTGCTCCACGGCCTTTGCAGTCTTCTCTGCCCTTTTCCCAAGTTTCAGACTTGGTGGAGAGGAGATAACAGGTACAACTGAACATCCTCCATCCTGTAGGACAAGTTTTCTCTGTAAAATGCATCAAACAAAATACATTAAAGAACCTTCTATTTGAGAGGTGTGGATTCAAGCATACTCTTTGCATTGATTTATTAATTAAGTTGACAATGAAACAACCAGTAACAACACTGACCCAGAATGACAAAACAATATCATCAAAACATGGATGATATATATATATATAATTTTGTTGACTCCTGTCACTCTAAATTATTTGAAGGGGCTGTGACACTCTAAACCCTGCTGCTTCTTCTTCTAATGACTCCTCACTAGTGTGTAGCATGACTACTATGTTTTAATAAATTTATGAGAATTAATATCAAATTATGAATTTTAATATTCAGAAAATATTAATCCATAAATCTCTCGTTTCAGGGCACCACCGGAGATCCGATTCGCCCAGAGTCTCCGGACCTCTGAGTATGGTTTTAACAATTATACAATTATTCACTAGTGATCAGTTAGTTAATAATCGCTCAGTCAGTCTCATATCGAAGGGGTAAATTCTCGTGGCAGGGACTTGGAGATAGGCAATACACACACAATTCCTTTGGTTACAGTGAAATTTATTAACTAATTAAGGTGAATATAAAAATGCAGTTAAAATATACATTCAAGAAATAAACAATGGCTAAACAATGAGACTGTGGGTTCTATTGTTTTAAGAGTTAAATATCTATTAACAACTATGGGACATCACTGACTCCCAGCCGGGTGCTGGTCAACGGCCTCACACTGCCAGAGATCCGTGCGTTCTCGGTTAGCTTAAAGCCGTCGGCCAGTCGCTTTCTCTGCCAGGGAATTGCTCCGTCTTTTGTCGTCTTACTGAAGAAACTCGCAGTGGGGGCCTTCCCAACCCTGGTTTGGGTCAGAGGTTTGGTCGTCCTTTGTTACTGCTGGCGGGCCCACATGGTAGGGTCCGAGGAGGGATCAGTGGAAGTTAGCTCGACGGATAAAGCTTAAAAAGAACTTGGTCGTTCTTGAATTAAAACTAGTGTAACTTAACTAATAAAATCAAAGAAAATAAAACGCAAGTGAAGTTGCTGTTAAACAAGGGAAAGCTGAGCTCGCAGCACTTTGCGTGTGGGGCTTGAAAACGAACAAGCCTTTGCTGCGCTGGGTTGAAGTTCTTAGGGCGTTGCTGGGAGAGGCATTGAAGAGCCAGGAACAAACAGAGGACAAGAGAGCGAACAAGTGCGTTTGTCGCTGTTTTGTCTGTTGGGGCGTGGTTCCCAGAGGGCAGTCCTTTGTTCCCCTGAGGGAGGGCTTGTTTCCAGTTTCCGAGAGACTGTTTTCTTTAGACATTAAAATCAAAAATCTATTTGCGCGTATTGTAATCAAATATCTTCCCACAATCAAACCTTAATTGTCAAACGGTTATACCGTTCTTAGTTTAAGCACTTGATAAAAGGAAAACAATTGTCAGTAGTTCGACCTTAACAGGCATTTCATAGGAATCACAGATGAGAGAGGAACTTAACTAGCTTTCTGGATATATTGGCTGTTACACGTTCTTAGAGAATATAAGCAAGACACATGAATGGCATTAGATTATGGACAGATAAATCTTAAACGGCATTTCAGACGATGGCATGTAATACTTACTTGCTGTCCACTTGGGGGAGCTCAGGTTACATGAGGTTTGATTGACCTTAAAACAATCTTCTGCTCAGGAGCTGTCCAATTTAGTTATTTAACCTTAAATTTGTGCTGGAAAATTGCTCGAGTGGTATAGGATGACAATTTTTACCATCATTTCTAAAGGCAGTGTCATAAAGTGTTGGGAACAAAGCATTGGTTACAACATGAAATGAATGAACACTGCAAAATAACTTATTTAGATTCTTTTCAACAACAAATACACCAACATGGTAACATAACTACTCAAATGGAGGCAAACGTAATCAAGTAACAAAGATTATTTAATTAAACAAGGTAATGCTTTCAGTTTTGAGGAGAGTACTCTTTTGTTTACACAAAGGAATTTAGGGCTGTCCATGGGTGTCCTGGAGTTCCTCAAATTTGCATCTGGTTGTGAAAAGGAGAATATCCTTTGATGTGAGGTAATCAAACAAAGAGGAAGGTCATGGTTACGTGTGTGTGTGTGTGGGGGGGGGGGGGGGGGGGGGGGGGGCAGCTTAGGGTTTCCTGCCCTCTCTTACGAAGAGAAGAGTTCAGGAGAAAGCTAGTCTCTGGTCAGTGTTCCTTTGTCATTTTAACAGTCAGGCACCGTGTTATCTGGCTGCGGCATCAGAGGTGGGAAGTTTTTACGATCAAACTGCCCAGAAACAGCACTTAAGGAAAGCAACCTTTCACCTTTTCCTTTGGGGTCTCTTCAGCCGTCTGTTGAGTTGATATCCCAAACCCCCTCCTCCTTCTCTCAGGGGGAGAAAAGGATTTGGAGTAGTCCAAACTTATTTGATATAAAATGCACAAATCCACACTGTTTGTTCACAACAAGTGGCAGTGGCAATATTCTTTAAGGAATAGTAGCAATACCATATAGAAATATTCTGATACAAGTTCTGAATTTAAAACTTTACTTTATAACAATAATAATGGATTACATTTATCTTAGACAGTCAAAGCGCTTTAGAGTAAAGGTGAGAAACTCCCCCTACTGGCTGACCAACAACGAAAGTCAGTAAGTGTTAATGTTGCAAAAAAATGCTAGAAGCTAATTGTAATGACTTTATATGCTGCTGGGGAACTTAATCTATAATACATTATCAATGAATAAATGTTAATGTAATCATAATTTCTTGGCGGATCATATATTGTATTAATAGTTTAAATCAGTTAATGATTAAATGCACCTTCTACCCCTGCTTCTCAAACTCTTTTAAGTCAAATTACTTATATGACTAATGACTAATTACAATTAGTATTATTTTAACTTCCATAACGCACACCAGAAAATATGGAGAGATTATTGGTTCAGAATTAAAACTAGAAGTCTAAAACTAAAAGTCTAAATCAAAAATGCGCACCTGCTGTTTCAAACCTAGCCTTCAGTCTTTGCATACACTCCTCAATCCTAAATCCCAAAGGCCTAAATGCCCAATTCTAAATGCCCAATCCTAAATGTCCAGATGCCCAAATGCCCAATTCTAAATACTAAATTCCTAATCCTGAATGCCCAAATACCCAATCCTAAATGGCCAAATACCCAATCTTAAATACCAAATGCATTTTTGTTTTAGACTTTTAGTTTTAATTCTGACCCAATAATCCTTCCATAAGAAAAGGGCACGGTAATAGTGTAACGTGGAAAAAGTTGTATAATCAAGAAGTAGATCACAATCTTATAAGGAAGTGAAACTCTTTCAAATGTAGAACTGAGGTGGAGCTGAACTTTCTGCTGGCGGTGTCAGAGAGGACGATGCGTCACGAAGTGTCATCTTGGAAAATGTCTCCCACCCACTCAGTACATTCAGACTCATTCCACCGTGATGTACCACAGCCTGCCACAGGAAGTATTTCAAACCTTTTAATTCTGTCCTCCTTCACAAGAACTGGTCCTTGGACTTATTTCAACCTTGTCAGCAGTTACAACCCCAACATTTATTTATAATTTATATCTTCAACTGAAGTAGGTACAATCTACATTACAGTCATTTTCTGCAATAATTCAATTTTGCAGTACTTGGTTACTCTGGTATTAATGCTGCATTTATACTGCACATTTCATGTAATATTCTTATTTATACTATTTTCACATTTTAACACACTTATTCATTGATAAAATTTTTCTAATTAAAATTGAAATGGATTGAGAGGTTGAAACTGAAACTGAGCTAAGAGGTGATAACAGATCAGATAAGATGTTCTATATGTGACGCTGACATTCATGTTAAGAGACAGCTGTGCAGAACCCACACAGGCAAGCACTCACTCTGTTTGGACAAACTCCGAAGCCTGTCCAACTCTTTAGTCGTGTTACTGAGGCTGGCATTCAGCCGGTCTCTCTCTTCGGTCACGGAGGACAGACGTCCCGTCAGGTTGGCTTTGATAGTGGTTACTGAGTCACGGTCTGTAAATAAAGATACGTTTCTTAAACAGAAAATGCTGATATTGACTTAAGTTTATATGCTTTAGTAAACATTTTGACCTTTTACCATTGGTGGATAAATAATCTATTCTGTGGTGTTTTTCTAAAACAAATGTTAAAAGTGCTTAAAGACCAACAAGTTAAGAAAAAAAATACAAAAGTCAATAAAGAAAATTTTGGTGAAAGACATTCATCTATCAGAGCAGAATAATGCTACTGAAAGTTCAAACTGATGTTAATGTATAAAAGCCAGACTCACGGTAAACACAGAGGCTGATGAGCCCAGCCAGCAGGAAAACACTCAGCACCCCAAGACAGAGAACAACAGCTCCATGAAATCTCCTTTTTAAGTTCCTGGGACCTGAACACAGAGAAGACTAGTACAGTCAATGATAAAACAACAATTATGACAGATAATTTGCAGAGCTCAGTCTATCAGACTTATTATTCTTACCCGTCTCATTTTGTGATGGTTTGGAGTCAACATGATTGTCATATTCAATATTTGCATACATTTCCCCCTTCGCTCAATAGAAAGCCCAATATGCAGCGTAGGTTACTCTACATGTAAATGGTGAAACTTTTGTTGAGCTCAGGTTTTTTCATTTTAGTTTCTCAGGAAGTGGTGTCTCACAGATGGTAAAAACAACATGTGGGATACTTGCCTGCCATCTTCCTTTCTTCCATTTTAGAAGCTAGATTATCTTAATGTTTAGTCACAAGAAAAAGTAGAAGACTTTTTACTTTACAGGATCCTTTTTTATTTATTATTCTAGACAGAATGTTATCTTCTTCATTAAAAAGCATAGTCCCAATTAGAAGCCTGTCCCTTTTGCTGGCCTGTTGTGCCTAAACATTTTAACAAATAAACTGATCTCTCAATTAGAAGCCTCTTTTTTGTAGAAAATTAAAGCCCAAGTGGTCACCTGCTTGAGCGAGTTCTAAGCTGCTTAGATCGCACGTACCAATATAAATGTTTAAACTTTTGTCAATATGGAAATGCTACACATCATAAAAATGGTTAGATTCTCCACAATTCAATAATTTAGTTCACTTTACAGAAACAATGAGCACCAAAGTATAATTCATTCAGATTTACTGACATGGAAGAGAGACTAAGTGGTGACTGGTGACTCACTACCTTGAAGCTGTCAAAAATATGAATATGTGTCTATTCCTTGATTATTTATATTGCTTTAGTCCATAAGGGTTGGCCTAGATGGCTGTCTCTTGGAGCTAGATCCAGTTAATGATTCGTAATTGATATGTAATTTTCATACAAATAATATTGAAACTGGTTAAATAGGCAGGGTGAGTTCAATGATTGAAGAAAAAAAATGTATCCACGTTGCTATAGTAACTCACTTTCACATTGACTGAGCACCATGCATGGGAATACATTTGCCTGATCAAATACATCTGTTGCCAGTGCTTTTTCAGAAATAAAGTCTCTGTGTGTCTGAAAAATGTAGGCAGCGGACCAAACCACTGTGAGGTATATGAGGGGGGAGGACATATTCATTCAAAATTCATATCGCATTGGATTTGTAGAGCTGGAAACGGTTTGTGTGCCAAATACATTGACTGGCGTTCAACAATGGTTATATTTAAATTTTTTATCAAAATTATTGCTAGGGACAATTCATTAGTCACTGAATACTGGTAGGGACACGCCGTTACTAAAGTCTAAGCCCTTGTTTTACGGTTATTCAAGTCTTGCACCTACTCTCCAGTGATAAAGGATGTTGTCACCCCCAAGCGGTCGAGGAAGATGGCCGCTCACCCAGAGTCATGGTTTTGTAAGAGATATGTGCCTCTTAAAAGGAAGTTTTTCCTTGCCTGTTTCGCCAAGTGCTTGCTCATGGTGTGAATTGTTGGGTGTCTGTATAATAATATTACAGAGTACTGTCTAGACCTGCTCTATATGCACAGTGCAATGACATAACTTTTGTTGTGAAATGGCACAAACATAATAATACATAAATAAAACTGAATTGAACTACTTTGGGGAAATATAATTCTGCTTATATTTTTTCTTAATCTTATCTAAACAGAATGTTCATATTTAACATATTTGCAAAAATTCATTTTTCAACTGAACAAAGAACACGTGGCAACAGAAGTATGATCGAGGTATAAATAAGCTAAGTCAGCTTAAAGACATGGCTGTGGTATGTGCAAGATTGGTGCCATGGAATCTTTGGAAAAAGGAAGTGATTAATCACCACGAGAAAGTTATTACAGTTTTTCTCAAAATATTACTGTGAAGCCAGCAGTTTTCATTCATTCCAGTAATCTAGTTTCACAGAAATAACTGATAATAGAAGAATATTTGAATTCAGTTACAGTAGAAACATGCTCATCCTCAGGCTTTAGTGAAACTTAAAAATATAAGAATAATCCTAATCTTTAATTTTAAAGCACTTTTCTAAAATATATTACAAAGTGATTTCACAAGTGCAAAGACAAAACAACATATAAATAAGTTAACAAGATATAAGATTAAAGCAAGAAAAAACTAAAGAAATTAAAACACAGTTAAAAGAAAAATAAATTATTAAATAAAATCCACTAAAATCAATAAAAGCTTTCCTATAAATGTATGTTTTAAGAAGGGACTTAAAAGAGTTGACTGACTCAGCCACCCTGATTAGCCTGCCTGTATAAATCTAATATAAAACATTTTATCATAAACAGCCAGTTTAAAGAATCTAAAACATCATATTTCTTTCTTTGTGATCATAGTTCTTTGTTGTGGTCAAAAACCTGCCAGCTGAGTTCTGGACAGTCTGATGATCAATAGATTTCTGGGTCAAGCAAGAAAAAAGGCAGTAGCAGTAATCCAGGCGTGATGAGATAAAGGCATGCAAAATGGTCTCAGTGTCTTTCAATCTTATATGATTTTATATGATCATGATCATATGACCCACTAAGGAACCAGCAATGTGAAGTTTCAATGGGAAAGATGCTCGTTAGAGAGTTTTCTTATCTGACTGTCCTTGATAGGCCTTCATCTCAGGACAGTTGGTCCCTACTCCCTTCCTCCCTTGGATAGCTGCATAATACCCTTACAGTATAAAGTCACCTGTTTCTTCTGGCTCTTTGTCTTACACTCTGCAGACTGTTTGCACTCTGTATGTCTGTGTGACCCTTTGCAAAAAATAAAACCCTTAAAATATGTCTGGATTGGACTCTTTATTTCAGAAGACTCACTAAAGGACATATTTCCATTTCACTTGGTGTCAGAAGTGGGATGGTTTGGCAAAGTTTGTCTGGGACCTGAGACGGCCGGCGACTGATCATCCTGGAAGAAAGAAGTGTTCCAGCCTCCACCTCACTGACTTAAGAGACGGGAGGGTCTACCGTCCGTGCCCCGGACCGTTGCCACTACCATCTAAAAAAAGAGTTGGACCTATGTTGTCCTTAAAAACGGTGAGTGTCTGAAATAAACTACAAAATTGCATTTGTTTTTTATTTTGTTTTTCTTTGGGGTTTTTTATACTTTCAGCTTAGAAAGAGATGTCGGCAGGGCAGCGTATCTGTTTATGTAACAGGCTTTCACCGCCAGTGAGCTAGCAACGCGCCCATGCGAGTCCTTGTGGGCGCGCTGGGAATGCAGCGCTACAGTAGACTGCTGCATTGGCAAGTTTCCACGATAAGAACAGCTTGTTTCTCGGCTGTCAAGTCATGGAAGTGGACCATTATGGCAGGCTAGCGAAGTGGACGCCCGGGCCTCACCCAGCCTCTCACTCGGTTCTGACCGGGAGAGCGGTGTGGGCCGCGGGGCAAACCGTTAGCTTTGCGTCGGTGAGCGCAGCGGCGCGTTCAACACGTCTAGCTCAATGAGATGGGGTTGGTGGTGGGGAATTAACGTTAACACGTTTAACGTCTTTGATGAGAGAAGTTAACATAGCTCTTTGAGGAATGTAATTAACATGTTTTACTCAAAACTGTTTCCACATTCTCAAAAGCCTTACCAGCCTGTCTGTGTTTTACACAAGCAGCACATGTAAAACAATGGTGTCTTGAACACCAGATGGGGGACTGTGGTAGCGTCAGCAGGCCTCTCTCCCTCCATAACGGTCACTTGGCCAGTCGCTCCCTTCCCCAACCGCCCAGCAGTATATAAAGTAAGTAAAATCCATCCACGATCAGCACCAAATTAAATTTGAATATAGAAACAAAATGAAATGAGGCATTGTTTTATTAATTTGGCTGTTTGGGTTTGATTTCTTTTCTGTGTACATTCAAGATACAAGAAAGACTGCTTTAAAGGAACAAAATGTAAATGAGAAAAATGGGAATTAAACAAACACAGAAAAAATCCTGGACGAAAAGAGAAAATGGTGACACACATATTTCAGAAAAAAACATACATCTTTAGAATAGAATGATGCTACCAGCAGGAAAACACTCTGCAGCACAGAATACCTTACATGAAATGACTTAACAGACTCTTGTTTGTTTCAATAGTTTCTCTGAAGCTTAACTATTGAGGAAGAAACAAGTCACGAATAAATGTCACTTAAGACAGGAACAGTATGAGAGCAACTTAATACTTTGTTAAATGATCAAGTAAACAATTCTAGTCCTTTTCAATCACATTGAAACACATGTACAAGTATTATTTATTATGAAGTTGTAATGGACTGTGTAATGACATAGTAATTATATATATTTTATAAAGGATTTATCCTATTTAGGTCAATTGGTGACTCTGAATTGCCCAAAGCACTGAATGTGAGTGTAAATGTCTAAACAACAAGAGACAGTTACGCGACATTCAGACCAAACACAAATTTAATTCCACGTAACGCTTTCCTCGCGGGGGTTTTATTGCTGGACAACTGCTGAGTGTTCACACACAACGCGATTATGCGAATAAACACAACTCGCCATTACTACAAATGCGCCACTTTATCAGGTCTGTCAGCAAGACAGCAGGACAACAACTTCTAAAAGACTTGTTTCCTGAATGGCGTTCGGATCGATCAGGGCTATGCTATGCTAACTCCCAGCAATGTCCAGTTTTGTAAGAGTAGTAGTCCAACAGAGCTAGCAACAACACTAGAACCGGATGTGCACGGAATCTAGCTGCTGAGAAGCTTGATGAAGATAAATCAACATTGTAATCCCAAAAACTAAAGTAAAAAGCTAATTTAATAAAAGCAGTTCACTCCGAGCTCCTGCGAGCAATTAGAGAAAAGTGCTTAAGTCAGATTTATTATCCTATTAAGTACATTTCAGATATTCAGTAGCATGTTAGCTACAACTGTCCTGATAAGTTTTAGGGAGCTTTGTTTCACTGCATATGGTAGTCATTAGGACAAGCCTGGGGTTAATTTTCTCAGTAAAAAGTACAGTATATTTTGGGAAAAAATACTGAGATCTTGAGAAAAACAATTACACTATTAAAGGACTTTTGAATAATTGTTAAAGTACTTTTAAATGTATCATATCAAAACTCATTAAATTCTAAGCAAATCTTTCACAGATCCATTTCAGAGAGTTATCACACCGCAGATCGTTCCAGTTTCCTCCAGTTTTTGTGCTAGCCTGGATATGTGCACAGTCCTCTTCACCCCACCGTGGATCTCCAGCACCATTATCAGGCTGCCGTGTGAACCAGTACCTAGGAGGTTAACAAGAAAGGGAATTTTCACAGTATTTTTCATGAGGTGATTTTAGAGCAGCCACGTCTGTAAGAAATGTTGGAAATTCAGTTCAGTCTGATGAAAAATTATTTAGACATTCATATAAGCATAAACCTAGTAATGCACAGCAATAGTTGTATATGTGTCTATATTCAAATAAGGTGTAGACCATTTACTGTATGCCTTACGACAGAGTCAGCGGAGTTCCATCAGTCCATTTCCAGGTGCCCTCATTTTCTTTGTCATTCAAACCAATCCAAGTGTCTTGATTGATGACTTTAGTGAGGAATTCCTGTTCAAGGAAAAGGAATGCAAACCAGTATTTAGATTTTAGATTTTTCAAAATGTCAGTAGCTCAAAAATGTATGTTAAATATTTTAATTGTAATCTAATCATTATAGCAGTAAATTTCAGAATTTTTCTCTCCACATCTATATTGACTATACATACAGTACATACAGACTAAAGTAAAACTTATAACGGAAGGGCATGAGTCTGTTGGGGTTTTTGTATGCATGTGAGAAACAAAAACATTTGTGGATGAGGCAAAGGGGAAGTATTTGATTTGCCATTGTGCCACCATTACTATACATTTTTACAACTAAAAAAATATCAAACTGATATTCCCTCCCTATTCATTTCAAGGTTCAAGATTCAATTTATTCATCTATAAAATTATAGAAATTACATTGCTCCAAAGTGAATCAACCCACTCTGATTCCAGATTATAAGATATACAGTAAATACTGATTAAATTAAGACAAACATAAAAATATATTAAGATAAGAAAGAAAGTAAGAAAGTTTGTATCTAATAAAACGACCACAAGTGCAGTATGATGAAAAGAAGTGTAGTCAGTGGTGAAAGAAGTACTCAGACAGTAGAAGTAGAAATACCACAGTTAGAAATATGTTACAAGTGAAAATAATGCATCAAAAGTATTAGCAAGTATTAACTCTGCCAGATTGTAAATATTGCTTGGTTGTTTCATGTCATTCCTTTCCAGTCATCAGAACCTTTGTCTGACCCTGAACCCTTTACCCTGATATCCATACCTGCCTGACCTTCTTTCTATATCCTTCTGAAAATATTATATTATTGTATTGTAATTTATAGAATAATGTATAGGCATCGCTGCAATGCTGCAGGTGGGGCTAATTTTAATTACTACATGCTATTGGATTTTTACATTTTTAATCAGTTTTTAAATGTTTTAACCATAATCAGAAACGTAACTAGAAACTATTTGTCAGATAATGTTATGGACTATATTAAGAAATTAGTATAGTGGTAGTAAAGTAGAAGTAAATATCAAGCAGCTCAATGACAATCAATCACAATAACTGATGGTTCAGTGAAGGTTGTAGATTTAAAGTCACAAATTTATCTCAGAGGGATTTATAATCTATAAACATAGACAAAAAGGGATAAAGTCGAACACACAACCTGTTCTTCATAACTGTTTATCACCACCAGATCTGCTCCACGGCCTTTGCAGTCTTCTCTGCCTTTTCCCCAAGTTTCAGACTTGGTGGAGAGGAGATAACAGGTACAACTGAACATCCTCCATCCTGCAGGACAAGTTTTCTCTGTAAAATGCATCAAACAAAATACATTAAAGAACCTTCTATTTGAGAGGTGTGGATTCAAGCATACTCTTAGCATTGCTCTATTATACAGTCAGTGGACAATGAATCAACCAATAACAACCCTGTACCAGAATTACAAAACACTATCATTAAAAAATGGATAATATATATAATTTTGTTGACTCCCGTCACTCTAAATTATTTGAAGGAGCTGTGACACTCTAAACCCTGCTGCTTCTTCTAATGACTCCTCACTAGTGGCAGAGGAAATTTCCTAAAGTAGCAATACTGCAGTATAGAAATATTCTGATTCAAGTCCTGAATTTGAAATTTTACTTAATAACAATAATAATTGATATCTTAGATGCTTAAAGCGCTTCGGTATGAGGTGCCCCTAGGGACATTATTCAGAATTACCATGCATATACATGTACTTTACCTCTCACATACACATATGAAACCAAACTCATTCACATACTATACTGAAAAGCTCACACATACAAGTAAAATGCTTTTACACACACAACTGAAACGCTCTCACACACACAACTGAAAATATTACATTCACACACACAACTAAAAAGCTCACACACACAACTGAAATGCTCTCACACACACAACTGAAACGCTCACGTACATACAAGTGAAATGCTGTTACATACAATACTGAAATGCTCTCACACACACAACTGAAATGCTCACACACACACAACTGAAATGCCTTTACACACACAACTGAAACGCTCACACAAATACAAGTGAAATGCTTTTACACGCACAACTGAAACGCTCACACACACACAAATGAAAACCTGACACATGTACAAGTGAAATTCTATGGTTGGTCCCAGCCAATGATCCCAGCTTGCACTTCAGGTAAGTTAACATTAAAGCTATACACCAAAACTTTAAATAATGATTTATATGTTATTGACATTATACATAAGATTTTAAATGATTCTAAGTATTTACTGTAATTGTGGTTTGCAACACCACAATTGTCTAAACGTGAATCAGCTTTAAACTAAGTTCTAACTGTTAAATGTCTAACAAACTATTTGAAGCAAATCAATTAAACCTGAATTCAGATTTTCACATAACTTTAGTTATGAGTCAATAATTTGGATGTCACTTGATTATAGTGTTTCTTGTAATAAGTCAATGGTAAGCTAATGTTAAGTTAAATATGGTAAGCTGAGCTATTTTGCTTGCATAATGGTAGCCATAGTTATTATTTCCACTTTTTAGCCTATTAAGGCATTAAAAGGCCTTCTCTACTTCTATTCCCACTCCCTGCTAGGAAGAGCAGCACTGGATCTCCTCATCGTCCACTGTGGTTTTCAACATCTGTGTTTTAAGTCCATTAAAAAATGGTTTATGGTTCCCATTGCAATAAATTCTAAATATATTTTTACTTTAGACTTATTTTGTCTTTACTACTGACTGAAAATGTTCAGTCAGTGAGTGTCAATTGAAAGAACCAGCTCATCATGCAACACAGATAAAACATTGAATATTAAAGCTTAACTCTTTTGCTAAGGGAGAGCTGTCTAGTATAAGTAGAAAAGTGAAAATACTGTTTTGTCTACTGACCTTGGTCGGAAAAGGTCCGAAGATGAAATAGTTATGCAGTTTTTTTAACATTGTACCTTATACTTGAAGAAGCCTTGTTTGCTGCTCTCATGTACAGTACGTCTAGTTTAAAGACAAGAGAATGAGCACAAATCCAAACAAAACTGGGTAAAGTGCTTAAACAAAGAATGACCTGCTGACTGAGAAATTATGAACCCCACTAGATGTATCATTAATTGCAATGTTGCAAACTCTTGAGGTATTCTCAGGCAAGTAGTCCACACAGAGCAAAAATAAACAATCAGCTGATCGAATGCACTTGTAGCAAGTATGTGCTTTCTATCAGTTAATGTTTTTCACCCTTTTGCCTCACTACACACTATGCCAATAAACATGTAATATCCACAAGACCTACTCAACGGTCACAATAAATGACACCATCTATAGAGCTTCAAAACTATTCAGTGTACAGATAATTCTTTTTTTTATGTAACTTAAATGTCACATTTGTCTCTTAAAGAATTTCTCCTTCTCTACACTATAAGATGTTTATTGTCGAATTAACAGTAACTTACTGGCAACAATTATCCAGTAGTTGCTGTATTTCATTCTACGGTAAAATTACTGTTAAACCAACAACAGTAGTGTTTAGCATACCGTAAAATAAAGCACAGTATATGTACTGTTTTTTTGAAGCACAGTAATATACTGTTACTTTTTTGGCATACTGTATAATGAAGTACAGTATTATGCTGTTATTTCTTGGCATACTGTTTAATCAAGTACAGTAATATACTGTTTTTTACAGTACTACTGTATAACAAATAAAATATGGCTATTTAGCTGTTGATGTAAAATAAGAAAAAGGACATTCAAAGACTTAACTGCACAAAAAGATTGTTTATTCCACAAGTAGAACAAAACAGTCATAATAACACACATTTATATATATATATATATATATATATATATATATATATATATATATATATATATATATAATAAATAAAGAGATCTGTTTTGAAACTGATAGTCTAACAATGTCATAGGCAGTCTGTAATCAATGTATAAAATGGGGTTCTCTGAAAATATTTCCTTATAACTAGCCACAGAGACTAGAAAAGCCAGGTTGAAGATAAGAAAATACTGAAACTAGTAAAACATATGGGTCATTAACCATCTTGACCACATGCTGAAACATGACATTCTCCATAAAAATCATCAGAATAAATAACATGTAACAACTAATCAAAACTCCATAAAATTGGCCGAACATTCAACCAAGCCACAGTTATCCTGTCAAGACACATTGCAATACACAAAAGAATCTTCTCAAAACAATTTCTCACTGTAGGTGTTCTGGGTGGGGATGTCAGCATTGGAGAAGTAATGTTGGTGAAGGGTGGAGGTGGTGGGGGAAGCCAGGTGAGGAGGGTGGTGGTGGGCAGTGGCAGTGGTGACAGCAGTTGTGATTGTCCTGCAAAAAAATTAACAACAACACAACAAATCAATCACTAGGACAGAAATTCATCAAAAATGCTGAACTCACGTTATCTAAACACCTTTGAGTGAATCTATGAAGGCTGCTCTGCACTCTGATTACACAAGACAATCAATACCTTTGAATGTGACTTAATGAGACGGTGGACTCCATCAGAATACTCAGACACAGTATGGGACACGTACATGACTTCTGTTAGTGCTGTGTTGTCAAGTCTTTTTATTTTAAGGAAAAAGGTAATCATCACCCTCCTATCTATAAGTTAGAGTACAGATACTGTAGGAGTATTTTCAGAGACTTTTTCCTATCCTATTTTACTATGGGAGTCAATGGAAAAATTGGACACTTTTACTCTCACTTCTAGTGACAGGAGGACCAAGGCACATTATTCTCTAAGACTTTCTGAAGATGGATAATAAATTAAACGTTCTTAGACCATCATAACTTAAACTCATAATACAGTTCTGTTTTACTCAAGCATTACCAACAAGCAACCATCCAAGTTCACAGTCTCTTAAATCCAATAAATCACTAACTAAAGCTGTGTCTCAATTCAGGGACCGCATCCTTTGAAGGCTGCACGTAAATATATCCAGTAATCTTAGTGGGCCATGGTAACGTTATGTTAGTTAGTAATAATGGACTTACAGTTTTACAGGTTGTAATCCTGAAGTTGGTCTTGGTCCCACAATATGGCTCAGCTCCGGCCTTGTGGAAATAAGAGAACAGAAAAGCCAGTTAAAATAAAAATCAAGAAGACTGCCTGCAAACATAAATTCACTTTAATGTTAACTTAACGTTACATGCAAACACCCAAGGTCAGACTCACAGCTCTATTAAATAACATAGAAACTTCTGGTAATTTTGGCCTTCAGCCTAAATATACTATCTTCTTTATAAAATAAAATGTGCAAATCAAGCATTTTGTTTAAGCTATTAACGTTAATTTAATCAGCTTCTAACTTACTGACAGGCTAACAGGACAGCTTTGCTACACCAAGCTAACGTTAGCTGTGGCTACCAGATACGTTACAGAACATCAAAGCCACGGTAAGTTCTTCTAGACTAACGTAAAAGTTATGCACTTTTTGTTTCTTTCACCACTCACCAGATATTAATGATGAAGCAGCTTCCAGGTCAGCAAACAGACAGATGATCCCCCAGTAGAGGCTCTAGCAATTGTTCTCTCGTACAGCTGCACTCCCCGCACTGAGAGCTACAACCGAAGAGTCCGTGTAAAACGTCACACAAAAGCGCCAACTTAACGCATCCAGTCCAGTCCGGAAGAGTCTGATGTGAAAGTTTCAAGAAAAGTTTCATGACATCTGATGTTAAACTAAATATTGTTGAGTCAAATCTTATACAGTAAGAAACTGTTGGAAATACAGTAATACTACTGTGAAAACAACAAAAATCATTTACAAGTAGCTCTTCCAGGAGTCTGTCTGGTCAGATTGCGCCTCTCTATGGCGCCTCCCAGCGCTGGTGTGCTTGCATTTGATAACTAGCAGTGGGCTAAAGCCGACCCATCTAATTAGTTTCAAATTGAGCATATACTTTGGAAGAAATCAAACTATGCGCCGATGCTTGTCAGAGGCAATAAACATAATGCCGTTGTACGATCAACAGTTGTTCGCCTGTATTGTGAGATGTGTGCTTTTATTTAAACAACTTCCTGTTCAACTGAAATCCTCTCATACAACGTACTGAAATGCTTTTATACAACATACATTTTACTTGAGTATGCGAGAGCGTTTCAGTTGTGTGTGTGTGAGAGTGTTTCAGTTGTGTGTGTGTGAGAGGATTTCAGTTGTGTGTGTGTGAGAGTGTTTCAGTTGTGTGTGTGAGAGCGTTTCAGTTGTGTGTGTGTGAGAGCGTTTCAGTTGTGTGTGAGAGCGTTTCAGTTGTGTGTGAGAGAGCGTTTCAGTTGTGTGTGTGAGAGCGTTTCAGTTGTGTGTGTGAGAGCGTTTCACTTGTGTGTGTGAGAGCGTTTCAATTGTGTGTGTGAGAGCGTTTCAGTTGTGTGTGTGAGAGCGTTTCAGTTGTGTGTGTGTGAGCATTTCAATTGTGTGTGTGAGATCGTTTCAGTTGTGTGTGTGTGAACGTTTCAGTTGTGTGTGTGAGAGCGTTTCACTTGTGTGTGTGAGAGCGTTTCACTTGTATGTGTGTGAGCTTTTCAGTTGTGTGTGTGAATGTAATATTTTCAGTTGTGTGTGTGAATGTAATATTTTCAGTTGTGTGTGTGAGAGCGTTTCAGTTGTGTGTGTAAAAGCATTTTACTTGTATGTGTGTGAGCTTTTCAGTATAGTATGTGAATGAGTTTGGTTTCATATGTGTATGTGAGAGGAAAAGTACATGTATATGCTGAATTGAGATCTGTCTAGTATAAGTAGAAATAAAAACACCTCATACTTTGGAGTGAAGGTGAGAAACTCCTCCTGCTGACCGAAAACAGTTTTTTCTGAATAGTTTAACAGTACAATCATTTTCTGGAATAATTCAACCGTGCAAAACTTGCTTCACTCTGGCATTAATGCTGCATTTATACTGTAAATTTCATCTAATATTCTTCTTTCTACTATTTTCGCATTTTAACACTTTTATTTATTGATACAGTTTTTCTGAATTATTTATTTAGACTGTTATATATTGTAGTACAGTGGTTCTCAACCATTTTTGGGCCAGTGCCCCCCTATCCATTATTCAGGTCCCTTAACGCCCCCCCTCAAAAAAGATGTTGGTTATTTTCCCTGAATATTGTTAATTTTTTTTTTTTATTGTTGTTGTTACTGTTAAAAACATGGAAAAAACACACAGTGACAAACAACATATTAATTACTTTCCCAGGTAACAAAAAAGTAAGTAAGTATATTTAACTAATAAGTCAATGTTCCTCCCAGAAACTGTGTGAAGCCAGAGAGTGTTTTGTTGGATGGGGCACTTAATAAGTAGGGGGTATGGGGGTCCTCCCCCAGAAGATTTTGAACATTAAACACTTAATTTCCTGCATTCTGGTGAAGGTGCCTGCAACTCTGCAATCAAATACGATTTAATCAATATGTGGCGGTCAGCGTTTATATTGTGGCGGATTGTGCTGTAACTTATCTGCTCATGTTCAAAACTTTCTGCACATTCAGAATCTCTCCCACGTAGCCTATCTGTGTTCTCTGACATGTAGGCTAAAGAAAAAAAGTAATATAATGAGACTAATGTCATTAGCCTATTTAAAGAGAATTCATAATATTTTACTACATTATACTACATGCTGCGTTACCCAGGCCTAACTGATTCACTGGAAGAACTGGATGAGACGAGAAGGTGCTCGTGCCGGGGGAAAACGAAACTAGGGCCGACAACACCTGTGATCAGGCAGAAATCTCATGAACAAAATCACACCTGTTAACTTCAGCACCTCTAATAAATTGCTGCTTACAATCCCCAGCAGAGCAAGTCAGGGCTTCAGTTTTTAACGTTACATTTTTATAGCCTACTGAAACTCCTGTATACAGGTGCTGGTCATATAATTAGAATATCATCAAAAAGTTTATTTATTTCAGTAATTCCATTCAAAAAATGAAACTTGTATAATGTATACATTCATTACACACAAACTGATATATTTCAAATGTTTATTTCATTTAATTGTGATGATTAAAACTGACAACCAGAAAATCCCAATCCAGTATCTCCGAAAATTAGAATATTACTTAAGACCAATAAAAAAAAAGGATTTTTAGAAATGTTGGCCAACTGAAAAGTATGAACATGAAAAGTATGAGCATGCACAGCACTCAATACTTAGTTGGGGCTCCTTTTGCCTGAATTACTGCAGCAATGCGGCGAGGCACGGAGTCGATCAGTCTGTGGCACTGCTCAGGTGTTATGAGGGCCCAGGTTGCTCTGATAGTGGCCTTCAGCTCTTCTGCATTGTTGGGTCTGGCGTATTGCATCTTCCTCTTCACCCCATAGATTTTCTATAGGGTTAAGGTCAGGCGAGTTTGCTGGCCAATTAAGAACAGGGATACCATGGTCCTTAAACCAGGTACTGGTAGCTTTGGCACTGTGTGCAGGTGCCAAGTCCTGTTGGAAAATGAAATCTGAATCTCCATAAAGTTGGTCAGCAGCAGGAAGCATGAAGTGCTCTAAAACTTCCTGGTAGATGGCTGCATTGACCTTGGACCTCAGAAAACACAGTGGACCAACACCAGCAGATGACATGGCACCCCAAACCATCACTGACTGTGGAAACTTTACACTGGACTTCAAGCAACGTGGATTCTGTGCCTCTCCTCTCTTCCTCCAGACTCCTCCAGACCTTGATTTCCAAAGGAGATGTAAAATTTACTTTCATCAGAGAACATAACTTTGGACCACTCAGCAGCAGTCCAGTCCTTTTTGTCTTTAGCCCAGGTGTGACGCTTCTGACGCTGTGTCTTGTTCAAGAGTGGCTTGACACAAGGAATGCGACAGCTGAAACCCATGGCTTGCATACGTCTGTGCGTGGTGGTTCTTGAAGCACTGACTCCAGCTGCAGTCCACTCTTTGTGAATCTCCCCCACATTTTTGAATGGGTTTTGTTTCACAATCCTCTCCAAGGTGCGGTTATCCCTATTGCTTGTACACTTTTTTCTACCACATCTTTTCCTTCCGTTGACCTCTCTATTAATGTGCTTGGACACAGAGCTCTGTGAACAGCCAGCCTCTTTAGCAATGACCTCTTGTGTCTTGCCCTCCTTGTGCAAGGAGTCAATGGTCTTCTTTTGGACATCTGTCAAGTCAGCAGTCTTCCCCATGATTGTGTAGCATACAGAACTAGACTGAGGGACCATTTAAAGGCCTTTGCAGGTGTTTTGAGTTAATTAGCTGATTAGAGTGTGGCACCAGGTGTCTTCAATATTGAACCTTTTCACAATATTCTAATTTTCTGAGATACTGATTTCGGGGTTTTCATTAGCTGTCATATCAGTCTGTGTGGAATGAATGTATACATTATACAAGTTTCACTTTTTGAATGGAATTACTGAAATAAATCAACTTTTTGATGTTATTCTAATTATATGACCTGTATGTCTGCTTTGGCACAAACTGTTTGCAACCCACAGCGCGAGGTGGGTCCACCTCACTTGCTGGTGTCGGCAGCGAAGTTGCTTTCAGGGTAAGTCCGACAGCGGAATATCCCTCTTGTAAATGTGTAACTACTGCGATAACAAGACATTCACGGTGTATTCCTCAGAGAAATAAACACTTTTCCACCAAGAAAGAGAGCGTCAATCTTCCAGAGTTTAGGCTACACAGTAAACGCCATGTGGGTAAAATCTTACAGATGATAGCCTACTCTGACTTCCCGTTCCCGTGAAGGCAGCACGGAGCTGCACCACAAGAAGTTGAAGGAGAAAAAAATGCACCTTCTCGTCCAGTCACAGTGGACTAAGACCACCGTGTTTTTGCAAGAAGTTTAAGGTTTAAACTCGTTTTGTTCTGAATCTTTGGTGCAACGCCCCCGTCGAGAAACACTATTGTAGTAGTACACCACACATATTTTTCTAATATGTTTCATTTTTGTTTCTGCAATGTATGTTTAAATAGATTGAGAGGTTGAAAGTGAAACTGAGCTAAGAGGATGTAGCAGATATATATATAGATATAGAAGATGTGGTCGGTCCTGGCCTTCATGTTAAGAGACAGCTGTGCAGAACCCACACAGGCAAGCACTCACTCTGTTTGGACAAACTCTGAAGCCTGTCTAACTCTTTAGTCGTGTTACTGAGGCTGGCATTCAGCCGGTCTCTCTCTTCAGTCACGGAGGACAGCTTGTTTTCACTGTTCTGGAGACGCTTCGTCAGGTTGGCTTTGACAGTGGAGAGTTCTGCAGATGAATCACGGACTGAGTCACGGTCTGGAATAAATCAAGATACATGTTTCTTAAACATAAAATGCTGATACTGACTTGAGTTTCTATGCTTTAGGAAACATTTTTGCTGCTCTAGCTGCTTGGATATGAATTTTTACCATGGGTGGATAAAGTAATATTCATAATAAATATATTTACAAAACAAATATTTCATGAGGTCAATGTTCACTTTTAATTTGTGGTGCAGATGTAAAACGTGCTTAAGGCCAACAAGTAAAGAAAAAGACAAAAGTCAACAAAGAACATTTTGGTGAAACCAAACTTTCAGAGCAGAATAATGCTCCTGAAAATCCCAAGATCAAACTGATGTTAATGGATGAAAGCGAGACTCACGGTAAACACAGAGGCCGATGAGCCCAGCCAGCAGGAAAACACTCAGCAGCCCCAGACAGAGAACAACAGCTCCATGAAATATCCTCTCTGAGCTCCTAGGACCTGAACAGAGAGAAGACCAGTGAATACAGTCAATGACACAACAATAATATGACAGATAGTTTGCAGAGCTCAGTCTATCAGACTTATTATTCTTACCTGTCTGATTTTGTGATGGTTTGGAGTCAACATGATTGTCATATTCAATATTTGCATAGATTTCTTCCATCGCTCAATAGGATCCCAATATTTTGTGGAGGGTTGACTCTGTAGCACAAGTTACACATAAAAAGTGGAAACTCCTGTTGGTTGGTTTTTTTACTTTAGTTAAAGAGGAAGTCATGTCTCACAGATGGTAAAAGTAGTATGATACACACCTGTCATCTTCTTTGAAACAGGACAGTTAAGAAGCTAGATTAGCTTGATGTTCAGTCACAAGAAAAAGTATAAAGAAGTTGTTAAGATTTATTTTTTATTTTTTAACTCCTTTACAGGATCCTAAATAATTTTTTTTATATCTAGGCAGAATCTTATCTTTTACTAGTGCATAACTTAATTTAAAAGTATAGTCCCAAATAGACGCCTGTCATTTTTACTGGCCTGAGGGCTGTTTCACAAAAGCAGAATTCAGAAATACAGGGTAACAGAAAAAGTGAGGCTTGACCTAGTGTGATCAGTGCATCCTGGCTTTATTTGTTTCACAAAGGCCAAACCAGGCAGAGGAGGAGTGACTATGTCAGGTGTAAGTAGTTCAGTTAAATGCACATCAACAGCTTTCTTCAAGAGACCACATGGTCGATCACAGATTTATTGATGCTGAAATGGAAAAGACGTGTGCAGCATGCATTAAAAACAGTGACAGTAGCTGAAAATGTCACTTCTCTTAACTGAAACTGTCATAACGTTACTATTGAAAGAGTTAGGCTACTTTTTCACAATTTCACAAATTAACAGATGTACACTTTGCCTTCCTTTAAAGTGAGCAGTGGACGTTAATATGTTACTCAGGAAATTATTCATTATTAACAACAACCAATCGACATACATTATATAGGCTGTATACTGTATGTTATTGGCCCAGGCAGAGGGACAGAGAGAGGCAGGAGGTATGTCAATCTTGTGGAAATAGTCTTATTTATATCGATAATAGATAAGAAGTCAGTGATGTGGTTCTCATAGAAAATACTGTATCATATATTTGTAACAGGACCGTGACGCCATGCAAGCTGACAGCCAGTCTGGCAATGTAGTATCAGTATTACTTGAAGAACATCCACAGGTGCACAATTCCTGCTGTGCTAATTGATATGTGTTTTACAAACTGTCAGATATCTGTACAGTACACACTTAAAATATCACCCAAAACCCCTGGGAGGACTTGGACCTAGATATGATAAAAAGAGATTCTAAGGAAATTGACTTGGAAATCTAGAAACTAGAAAGAGAAGAAGCTCCACAACAGAAGCTCTCCCAAGCTCCCAGCAGATGAGTGATCCCAGGGAAAAATAAAAGGCCAAAAAACATTGTAGTGTCCTCTCCCTGTTGTTTCATGAATGAACAGTACACTATATACTTGGTCCAGTGAACTGGGACTATAATATGGAAGGATTATACAATTATGAAACCTAATAACCACAAACTTTGTGCCACCAATGCCAAATAAAAAACATACACATCAAAAAGTAACAAAAGTAGCTCCTTTATTTTTAAAGAATACTGTACATCAAAAAGCAATAAATCCACCTAAAAAATAATGACATATGGCCTCTGACCAGTCATTGATGTTATCAGGAAATATTGGAGCATTGTCCCTCTGCAAAGCCACTCTAGGAGTGCCAGAGAATTTGCTTGAGAACACAAAATGTAGTCTAATTGCTTTTGTAATATGTAATCCATGTTACCTGCAATTTGGTAGAATGATTCGTAGCTGATATGTTAAGCAATACTCGAGCGGTGAATGGCAGGCGAGCAGAGCAGAGTTTAGCTGTAATTGTACAGTGTAAGTTACAGTGCCTAATGAATACATAGTGCAGCTCTGCTGCTTCTCACGATTAAAGCGGAGCTTGGTTCATTATTGCTCCTGGCTGTTGTGAGTTGTAGGGTTGGTGCCCAAGCCCAAGCAAAGGAGTTTAAACACCAACTAATCCTATCCTCATTTGACCTTTGTGAAAAAAGCCACAAGACCTAGGAAGAATACCAACACTTTGGGTGAGAGAAAGAAAGAGTAAATGCAGAAGGATTTTCAACAAACGCCACAGCCCTGTGTTTTTTTAAACTCAAGAACACGCCAAGACAGATACTGGTCCACCCTAAAGACCAAACACCACACACCCGTTTTGATTTTAAAGCCACAATTGGACAAAAGAAGCTTGCCACCTGTCAATTTATATTTTAATTTTCCTTCTTAAATAATGAAATTTAATGTTATAAAATGAGCATCACTGATATTTACAGACACGCAGCAGCCACTGGTCAGTACGGTGGGACTGAAGGTGAAGCTTATATTCTCAGCCTGATGGCCGTCTGCAGATTTGATAGTTAGAGGGGTGGCTGATAAAAGCCGGAACAGACAACAACAGAAATATGATTCATCCCTTAAGAAAGTTTACCATGGTATTTGTACCAGGGTATTACCATGGTATTCGTACCATGGTAATACAATGGTACTAGTACCTCGGTATTTTTGACAGTACCATGGTATTCTGACAGTATTACGGTACCATAGTCAGAATACCATGGTACACAGTATGATATGCACCATGGTACTGTCAATAAATACCATGGTACAAATACCATGGTATTTATAATATAACAATGGTATGTGTACCATGGTATAACATACATATATACATATGTATGTACCATGGCATTTGTACCATACCTACAACTGTCAAATGTGCAATGGTACATGAAATAAAATATTTAGCTCAGGCAAATAAAAACACAGTGACAATTTTTAATTTTTTTTATTATTATTTCATAAATTTAGCAGGATTTTCTTTTCACGATCTTGGCCGCATTTGATAACTTTTGGCGGATGAATCCCTTTATTTCAGCATCATTCTTTTCTGGGAAGACAGATTTAACTTCCCCTAAAGAGAGAAAAGAAGTAAAGGAAAGAAGAACAGACAGGTTACAGAAAAAAAACATAGACATACAAACAGGTACATACAGAGACCCAGAAACAAATATTACAAATACAGTGACAAACTATTGAGAGTGAAAGAGCCACAGTAATGGCAACTCACACCTGCGCCTGCTTTGCAAAACACCTGGTTACCTTAACAATTTCTTAAGACTATATGGCTCACCCAGTGTTTTCTAATGTTATGAAATGATACAGCACTACACAGCGCAGCAGTCATGTGTCACTCTTTTATGGACAGCACATTACTGACTGCCACTGATGAAGAAATACTTACAAATAATCTTTTTAACATCTTCAGGAGGGAGTGATGGTCACGTCTCCCCCTTGGTTGATGACCCAAGCCCAGTCACACTATGAGCTGCCATGAATGCAGTTGTGTCCAGACCATGCATCAGATCATTGGTGTATTTTGCTGCTGTAACCTTGTTGCAGCGGTCCCTTATTGCCTGTGGAATATCCTAAGAACATAAAATATTATTACATTGGGTCATATTACCAAAGCTTGTTAAGAAATAGCAGCGTTGGGGTTATAAGGGGACAACTAAAATAATTTAGTTAATGTTCCTATTTATCTTAATTTCTATTTGCAGAAGTTTATTTTTATAAAATGTTCCCATGTCCCACTTTATAGTATACTTCTGTTATTAATGAATATGAAACTTACCAGACAGACAGCCACAGGGGCAATCGAACAGTCATCCACAGGCAGCTGTGTTCTGGAAGACTGCATACAGTATTTAAAAATCACAGAAGAATGTATGTTACTCACAAGAAACTAAGGAGAAGACAGACAGACAGAACAGATTTGATTTATAACCAAGAAAAACACCAACAACATATGAAAACTGCAATTCAAATGAACCATTAAATAACAACCATCAACATAAAAATCATGTACTGTACCTGAAAACTGGGTCCAGCAGTTGAGGTATGCGCCATACATGGTGCTTCTGCCACATCATTGTTGTCGTTCTGTATCTATGCATTAAAGCGACAGTTCAGAAATTTAGAAGTGGGGTTTTATTGAGATACTTAGATGACACGGCCCAGATTGGAAAAGCTAACAGGACTACCAACACAGAAGCTGAGCTACTGTGGACAGAGGCAGCTGCTTAAAGTATTTTAGATAATTTAATATCAGTTTAAGTGTATGCTATATTTAGGCTGTTTTCTCCGAAACCGTTTTCTCTGCTCTCTTTAAGTCACTTGGTTCCATTGACAAAAAGCTTTACCTCACAGAAGACGAGAGTTGCTTGTCTTCCGCATGCTTTGATCAGATAGTTTTATTAGTTCCTAACCCTTTAAAATGCAAAAGTCACTCAATAACAAAGAGGAAAAATTACTTTTTGTCAAAGTCTGGTGGTTTTAACTAGAGCATAGATGGGAGACTTCAGTTCACCATCGTGAAGGGTTGTCTGACAGCAAGGTGAAGCTGTGAAAATATTCTAAATATAACATACACTTAAACTGATAAAACATTTTTGCTGTCTAAAATACGGCTGCTGGCCCCGTCCACAGCAGTACATTGCTTAGTCAGCTGTTTCTCCAAACTGGTTGTGTGCCGACAGCATCTACTGTTTGTAAAACACCTATCCCTTTAAATTGAGTTATACAATAAACAATATTTTTTAAACATTGTAACATATAGCAGACATAAAGACATACAGTAGCAGATGAAATATATATATATATATATATATATATATATATATATATATATATATATATAGCATACCATGGTCCTTGGGAAAGTTTGCTTGTTTGGCTGAGTGATAAGCTGCTGCATTGATGAAATCATCTCAGGAAGACCTAGATTTACAGTGTCTGTTAGCAATTCCTTATACAAAACAAGAGAAAGAGTTTACAGCCTTGCTGGCAGTAGTGTGATATTAACCATCTTTAGAAAAAACATTTGGTGTCTGTATATCTAGGGCTGATAGAGATGTCTTTGGCTTTGCAGGCTTTTAGTAAATAAAAAAACAGTTGCCAATATCTTGACAGTCGGGTTCATGATCTCCCTCAATAAGGTTCAATCGGCCAACTTCAACTGAACGGTTACTAAATTCATAAAGAGCGTAAATTTTCCAAAAAGGCCGTTTGTGTAAAATTCCCACTGCGGCCAGTATCCTAGAAGCGGGAAGCGCGAGTGCGGAGGTTGCCAACACACATGCGCACTAACGTCTTCAGTTACGGCCCTTCGCTCCGTTCTCCGCGGTAGACTGTAGCTAAACGGGATAAAACTTGAGAAAGATATACAAAAGATTTTTGTCAGACTTAAATATAGATATTCCAAGGACCACAAAACGATACCGGAATACCCATAATGAAGCACAGCGTGCGCCAGGTAACGTTAATGTTATTTGATTTTCTCTTCAGTTAGCATTAACAATGTGCTAATTTAACGTTAATGTTAGCTCACATTAGCTAATACAATAGGAATGCGTCTATTGGTTCAAAACCAGGTTTCATTGGTCGTTCTTGTGTCATATCTGTAAGGTTATTTATCAAGTGATGGCAATTTGAGACTGCTAAACAATGCTGACAAGTTTATTTAGATGAAAGGAATGGGGATCGAGACCCGGTTCCAGGTGAAGGCGGACGGAATTTCCAGCAATATCCAAAGGCCATGTCATAGAAATATGGATTACATGGACAAAATATTGGCACGACAGCGGCGCCGTCGCGGTGGAATTCGGTGAGGTTTAAGTTAGCTCCAAACTACTGTAACGTTGGTTGATGACAGCTACGCTCGTTACTGTTAAGTACGTGCAATAAAACCTTCGCAAGTAAAAACACAATACTTTATCAATGCACCTGTCTGTAAGGTAACGTTAAACATGTAGAAATGGTCTCTGTCCTCAGTATCTCCTACTATACAAGCACAGCTAACGGTGACGCTAGCTAATAGAAAGCTGTCTGTCTGGAGCACAGACTGGTCTGTAGTCTTAAAAACTCAGCTGCTGGCTGAGACAAACCAGCTGCTCCTCCTCCTTCCTGGTAACGTTACCTGCAGCCAGGAAAGAGGAAGAGGGACTGATCCAGACTAATGGTATTCTTTCTAAACTGATGTCAGATAAAGTTACTGAGTTACTTTGCTGTTGTAAACATTAATGTTGCTGCTCTAGAAACAACATTTAGCTGTAAAATATTAAATTAAAAACAACCAGGCACTTGTACACTTCAATATATGTTTATTTATTGCAAGTGATATGTCATCTCAATATATAAGGTTAATCGCACATTGAATATTTTCCTCATACCGTGCAGGCCTACCTCAGGCCCGTTGGTTCTGGTCTTACCAAATAACCATCACTAAATAATAGTGAAGTATCGATAAAGAATCAGATCGTTAAGCAGTATCAATAAGGGTATCGATATCAATAAAAATAAATGATCCCCATCCCTGCTGCACACTGAAATGACTTTACTATAATGTAATTGTGAGAAATACAGTCTATGTGAGTAACGCTTTTCTCCTCTGGCTTCTAAATTTCAATATCACTCACATGTGCTTAATAGGCAGTGTCCAGGCTACATGACCAGTAATCCCAGTATCCATTTTTTCTATTGCCTTTTTACTGTTTTATCATTTTTATAAAAAACAGTAAAAAAATCTATAATACAAAAGAAGTAAACATGATAAATTAAAAATAAAGATGAGTCCAAAGAATGGCGTCATTTCACACGAGACTATTAGAAGACTAATGCGAAGCTAACTGACAAGTATCTTATGACAGATGTTTTTTAGAGGTACGTCTTATTGTCCAGTTAAATATGGTGTGCCTCAGGGGTCGGTCTTAGGACCCATTTTGTTTTCCTTGTATCTGCTTCCCCTTGGACATATTATCCATGAACATGGCATTTCTTTTCATATTTATGCTGATGACACACAAATGTACTTGCCCGTCAGATCCACAGACCCTGGAATGCTGAGTTCACTTACCAACTGCCTTTGTGAAGTTTAAAAAATGGATGTCAAATAATTTCCTCCAGCTGAACTCAGACAAAACAGAAATCCTGGTCATCGGGTCCCAGCAGATGGCAAATCAAATACTGCCATCTGCTGGTTCCCTAGTAAATCACATTAAGCCTGTGGCAAACAACCTTGGTGTTTGTTTTGATAGTAATTTAAATTTCGAGCAGTTTTAGAATTGACTTTAAAATTCTATTGATCACTTTTAAAGCTCTTCATGGCCTCTCGCCTTGTTATATTTCTGACCTTTTAGTCCCATACGCACCAGCACGTACCTTGAGATCCTCAGGCAGAGGTCTGTTGTCTGTTCCAGAGTCTCGACTGAAAACTAAAGGGGACAGAGCGTTTGCTGTCAGGGCCCCGAGGCTCTGGAACAGCCTGCCCGAGGAAATCAGGTCAGCTGAGTCAGTGAACTCTTTTAAGTCCCTTCTTAAAACATACTTTTATAGGAGAGTTTTCCCGATCTTATTTGACTTTATTTTATCCCTTTTATTTTATTGTATTTTTTTTTTGTATTATTCACTTGTTAAAGCACTTTGTAACTTGTTTTTGAAAAGTGCTCTACAAATAAGGATTATTATTATTATTATTATTATTATTATTATTATTGTCCTATGTAACATTAGTGTTATGGAATGTATTGCTGTTTCCAAGAAAACTCAAGCTTGACTTAAAAAGCTGTCACATATAAACGAAACCTGGCTTTAGTTTTGATGCCAAACTGCTAATGTCCACGAAAATCAATTAAGTAATTAATCAAGCAATTTGTTTAAATGTCTAACAGCTGTGATTACTTCCCCCCAGATCAGTATGGCATCAGTGAAGATAAAAGACGCCTCAAGGTTTGAACAAATAGTATTTATAGTATAATATTATAGTATAATGATATTTTATGTTTGGAATGTAGCCAAAATAATTATTTTGACTTATAAATAGGGGTGAGATGAGAGACTTGGGTTGCAAGACGAAACAGTTTATTGGTTTCACAAGATCAAGATGAGATTTTAACACTATTTTAAGAAATCTTCACCGCTAAATTATATGAAACTTTTGAGGATTAAACAGTTAATTTCCTGCTTTCTGGTGAATCTGCACCAATTTACGGTGGAAATGTTAATATTTTTGTAAAAAGAAACACAAATCTTCACTGGCAGGTGACGATTCAGAATATAACAGTATATAATGCAGTGCAGCTTTCAGTTATTCTGTGCTGCTATCAGATCTGTTCCTCCTGTAGATCAGCTTATTTGATATCATCCCTGTTGATTCATGATTTAGTGTTTCCTCCTCTTTGTGTCCTTGTTTGGGGAAGTAACCTCTTTAAATGTGACTGTGGCACCATATACCTCAATTATTAGGGATTGGGATTGTTAATTTAATTTATTAAGTGATAATAATACCATTATTGAGAATGCTTAACAGTCCGAGTCTTAATCGAAATCAAAATTCCTATAAAATTTAAAGATTACAGACCAGTCTATTCTACAGACAGCAGCCTTCAATTTAACTTGTTTGTAACATTGTGCTAATTTGACTAATTTCCAAACTAACGTTAGCTGTGTTTATATAAAACATATAGGATGAGAGATTGTGGACAGCAGTTTCAAGTAACCTTTTCCACATGTTTATGGTTGATGATGCTTTGATAAAATACTGTCTTTTTACTCGCTAATGTTTTATTGCACATACAGTTACAAGCGTAGCTGCCGTTTGTAGTTTGTAGTTAATGCTACCTTCACATTACCGTCACCACTGCATGTGTGCGCACGCCTGTGTGTGTGCAAAGGAACCAATAGAGATAGTATGCAGAGGATGCAGCCTGAAAGTAAAAACTACGGTCCGTAACCCCCAGCCCATTTTATACCACGTTTCGGTGCCATTATTAAGTAACATTAGTTTTCTTATTCATCCCGTTACATGTTAAATCAGATTTGATTTAAATCACATGATTTGACCCTCGAGACATAATGCTAGTCTAGGCTCGGACCTTACTGATTTTCAGGTTTTGAGAAATGTTGGAACCGGGTCCTTTTTATAAAGCCGGGTATCGATCTCCATCCCTACTCGCTTGGCAGTTTTTAACCGGACAAGAAATCTCATCATGTTTAAATCTTAATCGTTGCCCAAGTTCTCATCACCCCCCTACATATAAATCATTAGTTAACATTAGTAAAACAATAGATGTCCTTATTTCAATTCTTTGCTCTTGTATTACAGCATGCTGATGGAGGCACAAACTCTTCAAATGAGAGTGCAGGCAAAGATGTAATGGTGTGTATGATTGTTGTCATCATTATTATTATTATTATTATTAAAAACAGAAATCTTTGTAGCATAAGTTGAATCGCATTCCACCGTTTCTGTTTCCCAGGGTGATTATCAACTGGGGAGGCCAGCAGACCACACAGGAATAGATCAACACCATGAAACGGTACAATATGCACAGTGATTGTTGTTGTTCACATAGAACAAATGAGTTGCATTGTTCTCCTTGTAAAATCCATGACATGTGCTGCAGGTTGCTGTGGGGGACAATAACACTATTTCCTACAATGATGAGAATACAGACTCATCTGATGATGAAGAAGCCTCAGATGAAGATCTAATGGTGTGTGAGCCTGTCATGTATTACAGAGACAAAGAAGTCGTTACAAATAATAAAATAATCTTACCAGGATATGTCATTCAGCTTTTTCCCGTCTCTCAGGCTGAACACCTGTCAAGTGGGCCATCGGATGAGGGGAGGATCCACTGCATGAAATGGAACCGTTTTTTTTTTGGTCATGCAGTAATTGTTCCACTTAGGACAGACAAACTGAACTCACTGGTGTTTGGCTTAACTGTGACTTTTGGTGCTCTTCTATTGCAGCATGTTGAGGGAGGCACAGACGCTTCAGATGAGAGTGCAGATGAAGATGTAATGGTATGTAGGATTGCTTCCATTATTAGATTGGCAAAAATGTATGTGTCAAACAGTTCCAGTAGTGTTTCTAGTGGTGTTATTAATATAGTTCTAATTTACTGCACGACCAATTATATCTACAGAATATTTTTTTCAGGACTACGTAGGTGATGTTTTGATCCTACATTGTCATCAACAGCTAAGTGGTTAATATAAGAAAGGGCAAGGTTTATATATGGACAAAATTACTTGTCATCAAACAAGCAAATTTAGAAAAACAGACAATGTCAAAAAACACATAGTAGGTCAAAGGAGTGGGACAGGCCACAAATTTAGTAGCAGTGTTTCCCATTAATTAACGAGAACATGGCGGCCCGCCATAGTTTCAGTATGAACCATAAATATTTTTACACATCTCATAATCACATTTCAGACCTCTAACGTTTTGCTTTGCGGACGCTGCTCCGTGCTGCTATGAGCTCGCACGCTCACACACTTTGGCATCTGACTCGAGACAACCACTCTTCTTTTGACTATGGTAACTTTAACAGTCTGTTTCTGTCAAAAGAGAAGAGTGAGAAGGCGATTAAGCTAGCTGCGCTTAAATTTGGAGTGCACACATATTCAAGCGTAAACGGCACAGTGCAAGCTGACAGGCAGGTTAGCGACTTTATCCCGTCAGTCAGACAAGTTTTGCAGTATGAGAGTCCTACCTGAAGAGAGGCTGTGAAGTCTTCATGTTACGCCGTACGAGAGCCACATACAACATTATTTATCAAACTGGGTCGGACTGGATGAATTTAGAGCAAGGAGGAAACACATGTGACAACGTCCGGCTTTCAAAATAAGGCGTCTGTACAGGAAATAAGATTAATTGGATTATATTCACAGAAAGTATAAAACATATTACATGTGTCCATTAAAAAACAACAATAAAATGTTAAGGAAATTACTTATTCTATTTTCTAATCTTTGACTTAGGGTGGCTGGAAAAACATTAAATAAATTTGGTGACTTTTGTTGCTGTTTCAACACCATTTATAGCTATACTAAGGGTTCATGATGAAGTAGTTTACTAGAGCAAAACATTGTTTACAAGAGTTCAAAGTTTGTCATAGTGGGCGTCTTCATTTCGCACCAAATTAATGCATTTAACTTTAAAATGTCCAAAATTTCTTACGGGGGGGCCACACCCCTGGACACCCAGAGAGGGTCCGAGGCCCACCCACCATAGTTTCTTTAGATCCTGTGGGAAACACTGCAGTAGCTGTATAAAGTTTTGAAACTATACTTCAAGCTTTTGGGGCTTTCTCTTTCTGGTTGAAAAACACAGTAACTGCAAATAATATCATGAAATATAATACAGTAAAATTATCAATAAATGTGTTGTCAAAAAAGCCTGCCTACATATTTTGTAGAAATTAAATTATAGATAGTAGACATTAAATAGATGTAGTGTAGAATCAGTATTCACTTGAGGCACATGTTTCAGCTTCATGGTCAATAGTTTTTGTGATTCAGTAGTCATATACAGTGGGTACGGAAAGTATTCAGACCCCTTTAAATTTTTCACTCTTTTTTTCATTGCAGCCATTTTCCAAAAATCAAAAAAGTTCATTTTATTTCTCAGTAATGTACACTCAGCACCCCATCTTGACAGAAAAAAACAGAAATGTAGAAATTTTTGCAAATTTATTAAAAAAAGAAAAACTGAAATATCACATGGGCAACTTCTGTATTATAGCACGAAGAACAGACTAACTCAGTTCCATCTGACAACGATACTCCAGAAGATCCAACGGTGTGTTATGTTTTCTTTTTACCATATACACTCACCTAAAGGATTATTAGGAACACCTGTTCAGTTTCTCATTAATGCAATTATCTAATTAACCAATCACATGGCAGTTGCTTCAATGCATTTAGGGGTGTGGTCCTGGTCAAGACAATCTCCTGAACTCCAAACTGAATGTCAGAATGGGAAAGAAAGGTGATTTAAGCAATTTTGAGCGTGGCATCGTTGTTGGTGCCAGACGGGCCGGTCTGAGTATTTCACAATCTGCTCAGTTACTGGGATTTTCACGCACAACCATTTCTAGGGTTTACAAAGAATGGTGTGAAAAGGGAAAAACATCCAGTATGCGGCAGTCCTGTGGGCGAAAATGCCTCGTTGATGCTGGAGGTCAGAGGAGAATGGGCTGACTGATTCAAGCTGATAGAAGAGCAACTTTGACTGAAATAACCACTCGTTACAACCGAGGTATGCAGCAAAGCATTTGTGAAGCCACAACATGCACAACCTTGAGGCGGATGGGCTACAACAGCAGAAGACCCCGCCGGGTACCACTCATCTCCACTACAAATAGGAAAAAGAGGCTACACTTTGGAATTTGGAAAAATTGGACAGTTGAAGACTGGAAAAATGTTGCCTGGTCTGATGAGTCTCGATTTCTGTTGAGACATTCAGATGGTAGAGTCAGAATTTGGCGTCAACAGAAAGAACATGGATCCATCATGCCTTGTTACCACTGTGCAGGCTGCTGGTGGTGGTGGTGTAATGGTGTGGGGGATGTTTTCTTGGCACACTTTAGGCCCCTTAGTGCCAATTGGGCATCATTTAAATGCCATGGCCTACCTGAGCATTGTTTCTGACCATGTCCATCCCTTTATGGCCACCATGTACCCATCCTCTGATGGCTACTTCCAGCAGGATAATGCACCATGTCACAAAGCTCGAATCATTTCAAATTGGTTTCTTGAACATGACAATGAGTTCACTGTACTAAAATGGCCCCCACAGTCACCAGATCTCAACCCAATAGAGCATCTTTGGGATGTGGTGGAACTGGAGCTTCGTGCCCTGGATTTGCATCCCACAAATCTCCATCAACTGCAAGATGCTATCCATCAATATGGGCCAACATTTCTAAAGAATGCTTTCAGCACCTTGTTGAATCAATGCCACGTAGAATTAAGGCAGTTCTGAAGGCGAAAGGGGGTCAAACACAGTATTAGTATGGTGTTCCTAATAATCCTTTAGGTGAGTGTATTAGCTTATTTTGTGTAAATATTGAAAGTAAACAGTTTATTTTTCCATCATGTGAAGGGCTCATTGCATGGATAAAATCTGCGCTCAAAATACAAATTCAAAAACAATCCAAGGCTCAAACTGTAGGCCCTATGTCGGTTGCAGTGATATGATTTTAAATAGGCCTAATGAAAATCAATATGTGGCACTCGGCGTTGATATTGTGGTGGGCCGCCACAAATAAATGAATATACGGGAAACACTAGATCCACTGTTAAGGTAGTATTAAGTGTTCTGACCATAAAAATAGTTTAAAACCACAATTAACCATCTGGTTTCTTCAACTATCACTCAGGAGCAAAAATCTGCCATTATAATGATTTGATATTTATCATAACGTTACGTTCTTGCCTCCTACCCTCCATCTTTGTTGTAAACCCTGAACACATTTCAGGCAGAGAAAAATTTTAGCTTGCTTTAAGCCCTGAGCTGCAGAAAAACGTGTAGCATTTTTACAAGAGCAGCTAACACTGATATCTTCAATTTAGAAGCTGTTAGCAAGTCAGACAGACAAACCAAAACTTAAAGTTCACTATAAGTTCATTTTCTTCAATCAAGTTTCCCTCAGCGCTCTCATAAAAACCAAAATACAACCAGACTGCTGGATATTTGCTTGAGTTTATCAAAGTGCAGTAACCGAACCCAGTTATCCTGGTAATTAAAATGTGTATGGTAATAACTGTCGGGATTTTTGCCATGGTTTATCGTCATACCGGCAATCGTTTCATCCCTATACGCCCGTTCTTCCTGTGCTCCCCGTATTCGTATTCGTACACCAAGTGTTCAAAGAGCACCTGTATGTGATTCAGCAGTAATTATAGTCCTTTGTCTTAATTATTTATTTTGTTTGGTATCGATATATATTAAGATTGGATTGTAATAAATATATTTTCCTTTGTAATCCTTTATTAGGAGCATGTTTTAGACCCAAACTTCAATGATGAAAAGAAGATTTATGCTGGTTCTTCAGTTACAATGGGGGCTCTCCTCCTTCTTCTCTTGGCATTCATCCTGAAGCATGGCCTGTCAAAAGCAGCGACCAAAGACCTCCTGGAGCTCCTAAACTTTGTGGTGCCTGGATGTGTGCCAAAGTCAGTTTGGTTTTTAAAGCAACACTTTCTTGATTACAATGACAAGACAGAACTTCATTTTTACTGTCCCAGCTGTTCAAACTACCTTGGTGTTGAACCAGCTAATAAGTGTGGAGTGTGCCAGCAGAAAGGTCTACTTGAGAAGGCATACTATTTCCTTGTCATGCCACTTAAGGTTCAGCTAAGAAATACCCTGGCCCATGTACAATCAAAGCTACGGAAACATTTCACAAGAGATGCCTGTGTTTCTGATATCAACACTGGAACAGAATACAGACGCGAGACACAGGGAGTACACACTGACCGTATTACACTAACCTTCAAAGGTGACGGCTCCCCTGTGTTCAACTCCTCAAAGACTTCAATTTGGCCCATTCTGTGTACTATCAATGAACTTCCATTTGTGGATCGATGTAAAAATGTTCTATTGCATACATTATGGTTTGGCAAAGGAAAACCCCAGGTTCAAAGTTACTTCACCCCATTCATCCGTGAACTTCAAAAACTAGGGGACACAGGATTCCGTTGGAAAGATGAAACTGGGTCGGAACATCACACCAAAGTAACAGCTAAAATATGTATTTGTGATGCAGTTGCAAGGGCAATGGTGCAGAACTTTAAACAGTTCAATGGAGAATTTGGATGTGGTTTTTGCTACCACAAAGGGGAGATGGTACAAAAAGGCAGAGGTTTTACCAGAGTTTATCCTGAACAGATAGTTGGTTGCGACCTGAGACATATGGCTGAAACAGTGCAACTTGCTGAGTTAGTGGTGGAAAATGGTAATGACCAATCTCAAAGGGCTGTTAAAGGTCCAAGTCCGCTGATCCTGTTGCCATCATTTGACATTATCAAGGGGTTTATTCCAGATTACATGCATTGTTTTTGTCTGGGTGTACTCTGTCAGTTTGTCAATCTTTGGTTTGACCCTCATTATGCCAACAAGAACTTCCACTTGACTCCCCGCCAGCTGAATGAGCTAGACAAGGGTTTGTGTAAAATTCAGCCACCAAATGAAATTAGAAGAAATCCTAGGCGCTTAAGTGAGCGAATATATTAGAAAGCTTCTGAGTGGAGGGCATTTATTCTCCTGTAATACTTAGGAATGTTTTACCGGGGCTGTACTATACACACTGGATGCTTCTTGTATACGCACTTCACATCCTCCTCTCCCAGTTTGCCACACAGGATGAGCTCAATTGTGCAGAGTTATGTCTCATTCAGTTTGTAGCCAAAGTGCCAGCTCTTTATGGTCTCGAGCATTGTTCACATAACTGCCATTTGTTGACGCATCTTACCCAAAGTGCCAGGGACTGGGGTCTTCTATGGACCAATTCAGCATTTGTTTTTGAAGACATGAATGGCAAACTCTTGCAGCTGTATTCTGGCACACAGTTAGTTTCGTCACAGATCTTTAAGCATTTCTTTTCACATCAGAAGGTTATAAGAAAAGGAACTGCTGTACTTAAGGATTCAAGCAGAGAAATGCATGATTTTTTCTTTTTTATGAAAAGTGGCAACATTGTTACAAAGTCTTCATGTTACATTAGAGAACATTTAATGACTTTGGGGTGTGGCTCTCACAGACAGTTAACTGCCAGAGAAATTGCTGCATTGCAAAACAGTTCTACACTCACAGAGTACCAAAATGAGAACAGTTCAACTGTATATAAGCGTTGCGTGTACAATGGTATGTTAGTCACCACCAGAGATTACAGTGTCAATTTCAAAAGAAATAATTCTGTAATAGAAACAACTGATTGCTTTGATATGGTAGAATCCATGGTTGTTGTACCAAAACACTGCAACTGTGAAAGAGGGTCTAACTGTTCTTGCAGAGAACTTCGTATTTTCTATAAGCAACTGAAGCGGGAACACAGACAACCAGCAATCTATGATGCAGATATCAACACAAACATTGCGAAATTTCTTGTGAAAGTAAGGATGTCAAATGAAATGTGTGTAATGACATGTGAGGACATAGTAGCTAAGTGTATTGCAGTTGAACATGAGGGTCAGTTATATGTGATGAAAATGCCTGTGTTTGAGCAGAGTTAAATTTATGCAGGCTAAAATTCATCCACACAGTTGGGTTGAGGAAGACAATGTATAAAGGATATAAATGTGTCTGTGTATTTATGTGTCTATACTAAAATTCAGCTAAACAGTTTATTGGCGACTATCTCTTGTGTGTATATAAATCGATAAGCAGGACTTCTTTATTGTGTAGTGAACAATGGTGTGGATTTGTGCATTTTATATTGAATACATTTGGAGCTACCCTAAATTCCTTTCTCCTCCCCAGAGAAGAAGGGGAGGGGTCAAAGTTGCTTTCTCTAAGTGCTATCCCGACCATAAAACTGGCACTTTTTTTGATTCCGAAGCTGATAACGCGGGGCCTGACTGTTAAACTGACAAAGGGACACGAACCAGCCATTGGCATCTCCCTGAACAGCCTATCAAAACTGGCCCCCCCACACACGTTTCCGTGGCAACTGACCTTATTCTTTGTTTTATTACCACATCAAAAAGGAAAACCCCTGTCTCACGTAAGTGTGACATGGTCCAGACACTGAACTTTGGATGACAGAGGACTGCAGTCTCCAAATACTTTAATTAAGTTAATTAAATCTTTAGTTGCCTGAATACGTTTGCCTCTATTTGAGTAGTTATGTTAACAAAGAAATGTTTTACTATACTCTTAATCGCCAGCTTGAATTTAAGGATGAATCAACAAATTCCCCGGTTCCTAAGGAGAGACGATCTTTGATTTAATCCAAGCTGTCCTCATGTAACCTGAGCTCCCCCATATGGACGAAATAAGTATTACATGTCCTCGTCGGAAATGCCGTTAAATGTATAAATATCCTGACCAATAATGTGACAATTGTTTCCTGTTACCAAATGCTTAGAACAGTACAACCATTCAACCATTGAGGTTTGATTGTGGAAAATGTTTGATTATAATACGTGCAAATAGATTTCTTTTCTTTAGACATTAAGTTTAGAAAGGCAGTCCCTTGGGAAACCTGAGACGCCCCCTGGGGAACCACGCCCCTGGCAACAAAAGAGCGACACACGACCTGCTTGCTCTCTCTTCTCTTCGCTGTTGGCTCTTCCACCCTGCTCGGCCCTCTGGACGCTTGCGTGCCTCGCCAGGCAACACCCAGACTCGGCCAGCGAAACAAACAGGCTCCTTTTGTTCGCCTGAAGCTACACACCTGAAGTGCCGCGACATCGATCTGCCTTCAGTTTGTTTTATTTTCTTTATTTCTTTTGTTTGTTAAAGTTATCAGTCCGTTAAATTACACTGGACTAATTCAGGAACGACCAATTTCCATTTTAAGCCTTTTTCGTCGAGCCAACTTCACAGAGGTCAGACCAAGCCACGTGGTGTCGCCAGCTACAGCGAAGGAAACCTGAAAACAGCCGAATTGCCAGACGGAGGAGGCGTTTTCAATCAGACACGGAGAACCCTGGAGAATCCCTAGCAGAAAGCCAGGATCGGGCAGCTAGCGTGGGACCCGTGCAACAGGCCAAAAGCAGGCTGTCGACAAGCAGTAAGACTTAACACACATCCTGTGATCAGATGTCCATTTTAACTCCTAAATTATAGCATTAGTTCACTTTCATTAGCTCTTCTATGCCGTATGAGTCAAATGCTTCCCACAATCGAACCTCCAGGCTCATTGTTCAGCAAATGTTTATGTTCCCTGTATCCAACCATCTTTTTATCACCTTAGTTAGAGAATAAATTCACTGTAATATAATCAAGAGCTGTGTGTGTTGCCTATTTATAGTTCCTGCCAAGAGAATTGACCCTTTAGATATGAGACTGACTGACTGATTTAAGATAATTGAGCGATTATTAACTAACTGATCACTAGTAATAATTGTATAATTATTCAAAACTACCTAGAGGTCCGGAGACTCTAGGATTATAACAACTCCGGTGGTGCCCTTAACGAGGAAATTTTGATTTTATGAATTTTAATTCATAATTGGGTATCAATTCTCATAAATTTATTAAAATGCATAACTAATAAATTTAGGTCTACTACAATTGCAATATTGTTCTTTTTATATGATTATTGCATTACTCGGATACGGTACCAGTTCCATTGTAGGAACAGGTGAACATGAGATGACAAGACAATACATACAATTACATAGGTATAAGAGCATAAACTTTGTTAGTAAAATAATATAGTTAAAGTATCTGAAGTAAAACTACTTGTTAAGTAGCACAGTGGGTCATGCTAGATGTTGCGTGAGCCCTCTTCAACCAGTTACTATAGTACTTGTGTGAGTTTTAAATTTTCACATTCATTTTCAATACTCAGTGTGGTTTGTTTTAAATTATTTTTTTATTTGCCCAGGACCATAATCATATTGAATGGAGCACAAGAAATAAAATGAATAACAAAGACAAAATGACGGCATACTGCTTGGTAAATAAAAATATTACTAAAAAAGAAGGAACATCCCTCAAAAAGACACCCAGTTTGTCAAAATGATTTACACTGGTACTAACATATCGGTACCATGGGGCATGGGAGTAATTATCATGATTCCATCATTATATTTGAGGTACTGTGGTAAGATCCAAGGTACTGCAGTATATACCATGGTCATATCTGAGGTTCTATAGTATGTACCATGATTATATCTGAGGTTCTATGATATGTACCATGGTTATATCTGAGGTACCATATTATGTACCGTGGTAACATCTGCAGAACCATGCAATGTACCATGGTAATATCTGAGGTACTATAGTATGTACCATGGTAATATCTGAGGTACTATAGTATGTACCATGGTAATATCTGAGGTACTATAGTATGTACCATGGTAAATTCATTCTACAAAGGACTTCTTCAGTTCTGACTGACTGGTAGGAAAACTCAGCTATTTAACCTCAGTGGGGTCGTTTGCCAGGATCGTCGATACTGCTGGTTCGTTAGTGCTCCTGGTTGCTGTAAGGACAGTCGTTACAGTCATTAGGACTACCCGTGGCCAAGACTGAATGACCATCGTTGGTATCTTCACCTGAGGCCAATGGGTTACGTTTGTTGAGTTTCCTGGGAAGCGATGAAAGGACCACATTGCAAGTGGGGGATAAGTGGTGGTGTAGACCCCCTCCTCTGTTCAATGATGGCTTCTCAAACCGGGCCGTTTCCCTACATAAGTCCTCTGGATGAGGGACGAAACATCTTCCAGTATCTTCAACCAAGTCCAGTTGCCCTTGACTTTAACCTTCGTTGGACATTAAAGATCAGATCCATGCCCTATTTGAGAGGTTGTGGATTCAATGTATGTTCTGTGGAGGAAAATGATTGTGTACATAGACTGAATACAGTGGACAATGCAACAATCCTGACCCAAAATGTCAAAACCAAGCGGGAAGCTTCCTGTCAGTGATCTGATGCGAACGCGGAAGTACCTGAAACCTGCATTCTATTGAACGGCCACCAGGGGGCGACTATTCTGGTTGCAAAAAGAAGTCCGGCTCCATTAGAAATAAAGGCTAAATGACCCTACTTCTCATTACCTCAGTAAACACTTTCCTGATGAGTTTATGGTCTCAGTCGTTAGTTTCATGTCTTCTTCAATACAAATTATGTCCATTTAGTAAATTATGGTCAAATAGCCATAAAGCAGAGTATGTTTCAGGGCGGGATTATCTATGTTTGACAAGTTGTTACCATGGCGACCTGTCAATCAGGCTAGAGGCGATTCATACCCTCGGCACTGTAAATTTAACCAGCGTTGTTGAAAAAGCTTATTAGGAGTCGGCTTGTCACTTTCTCTGGTGAGTACATATGCACCCAGCTAAGCTTTAACGTCTCGTCCAAATATGGTCACTTCTGGGCACTTCCTGGTTGCAAAAACTCAACATGGCGGCGACCTATTGGCCAAACTCGAGGCTTCAAAACAGCAGTCCACAAACCAATGGGTGATGTCACAATGACTACGTCCATTTCTTATTTACAGTCTAGTCTCAAAACATCAAAACCAGAATCAGATTTTTTAAATAGTTTAAAAGATCTCTCTCTCTTTCTCTAATGTTGCAGCTGAAGCTAACTGTAGTTACTTCATACTGCTGAATAACTTAATCTAATACATTATAATTGAAGAGGTGATTGTATACAGTATTTGCCTCAATGTTGTGGATTATAAGTAAAAAACAGCTTACATGAGTAAATATTAGTGCCGGGCAAGATTAAAATTTTAAATCGTGATTAATCCCATGATTTTCTGCAATTAATCGCATAGTTATGCACAAAATTGAATTATGAATTCTAAAGTAGTGTATTACGAACTTCTAATTTAAATGTACTGCTATATATTTACAAGTGAAATAACGTGGTTTCAAACACTTCAAACAAATAAGGTGCTTTTTACCAGCAGTATTCCCTTTACACAGTAGCAATAAAATATTTCTTGTAAATCTCAATTTAAACATTAATGTAATCAAATCAAATATAAAACCAAAGCTATTTGCCACTGCCAGGGCATTACCTTTTATAGCATGTTAAAACAAGAGTCCAGAGCCACAATAATAACATCTAAACTGGCACCTTCTGAGCAACAGGTTAACATATATGAATCTGTTTTCTTGTTTGTTTTTTTCTGAACAGGTATCAGCAGAAACATTTTTCTTTCATCAGGGAGCAGCGTAAACAGTCTATGTTGAGTAGCAAGTGTCCCTGTTAGAGTGAGGTGAAGCGGTCGGCTCACGTGCACACTCGCCAGCTGCTGAAGTTGAATTGTCTTCAAAGTTTTTGTACTCAACATGCAGCACAAAGTTTGTGAGTTTCCAGAATCTATTACTGTTTACTAAATAGAACATCAACAGTAGGGAATTTGCATGGCAGAGCATTCCCACAAAACTAGATGAAGACCTCTCAGGTAAAGTTATGCAGTCTCTAATTTTAATTTAAGTTAAATAGGCTACAGCTGTGTAGCACACAGAAGTCGTTGCCATGGTTACTATCCATAGAGCACATGCCGTTGACTCACAGAGCGCTTGTCTGGTGTCTGATCACCAGAGCCAAGAGCAACCCCGTGGGGCCAAGTGACGACGTTGTGATTTTAAGAACATTCCTAAGACCGACATCTTCTCCAAACTAATCAGCATGCATTGTGAAGCTATCCACTATGGAA